AAGAGTGAATTCGATCTAAACTATTGAAGTTTTTGAGGAGGAAAGATTTGGTAATAGAAGATTGGATTTTAATGATTGGGATTGATTGGATTTTGACTTGGGAATGGTGGTTTCGCAAACCCTAATCGATCGATTATCGGTAATTTACGAGATCGATAGAAATAAGGTTTGAGAGGTTTTAATAAGTGGTGATTAAAAAAGAGAATGGTAGTGGTGTGAGGTCACAACGATACTAAAATCGAAAACAGAATATAAATTTAAGTAGTAAAATGGTATTTTAAAATTCTGTGGATGAGAAATAGTCATTAAGCCATTATTTGGGTGGGAAAAAGTCATTTACTCATCTCTTAACTAGAAATTCTCACGCTAAGTACTTCAAGAAGAGCCTTAAAATCTGTAGTTCATTTGGCTGTTGAGGTGGTTATCCACATAACTCAATAACCACAAATTAATTTGGGTTGGCAACATTCAAGTATCGGAACAGAATTTGGGGTGAATGGCCATTTAATTCAACCAAAACCAAAACCTGACCTCTGTCAACTCAACTCTTTTCTGTTGAACACAACTCAAAGCCATTTATTATGGATGTTCACCTACGCAACGCGGATCACTCACTGCCTTCTGTGTTTTATGATCTTCAAGAGTGTGTGATACTTCACTCTCAAACTGGGTCTCTGCCTCACCAAACAACAAGCCCATCCCTACCACCGCAGTTGGTCTTCCTTGCTTCATCTGACTCTTTTTAAGTTCGCAAGTTGCGTCAGAAGTGGGTTCGGCGGAGACAGAAAGCGACCGGACGAAGAGTTCATGGCTGAGTTGATTCGTCAGAGTTCACTTCATGTTTCAGGAGATGATAACATAGAAAAGGTAGTTAATTTATTGATCAAGTTAGTTCCTTTCTGGCATTATCTGATTTTAAGACTCTAATTCGTGGTTTACTGCAATTTTCAGTCAGGGGTTCGGCTGGTTCGCCGCAATCAACGATTGGTCACCTTTACGCATGAACCATGGAGGCAAATAGATATATCTCGAGACCGTCACCACCAGGACCATCATGATGGAGGAGTTTGAGAAGATGAAGATGAATAGTGAAGTCCCTTCAAGCATGAGCAACAGCAACGTTGAGTTTCACTCTAAACAATCTCTATTGATGATCAAATACGAGCTATTCGAGTAAGCATAGATCCTGTCAAAATTAGATTTTTTTTTTCCTTTCTTTTTCTGTTATATAACTAATTTTTTTATCTTTATCTTTTTGAAGTTCCTTAAGCTCAAACAAGAGCAGCTTATGAAACAACTCGAGTACAAAAAACAGCTAAAGTGTACCAAACAAAGCGAGAGCTATAGTGGATATAACAATATTGGGCAAAAGACTGTGCCTCTCCGACTTCAAGTTCAATTAGCCCTGGTCTAACTCTAACATGCAACAGCAGCAACAGAGCAACCAACAACAACCCAGTTGGGTAGAGAGCGGTGTTCCTCGGTGAGCCGGGTTCAAAAACTGGGTCAGTGGAACCGGTGTCTTTTTGCCTAAAGGAATCGGCGGCAACTCTTCCGAATCACGCAAGAAACCAGGTAATATAATTTATACTTGTCTTAAATAAGTATTGATTTTGGGTTTTGGTGCCTTATTTCTTCTTGTTTCCACGGTGTTGGGGTAGTTAATTTTGAGTGGACTATCAGTTAGTCTATAGGTCGATTAGGTTTGGATTTTCCATTATTTGGTTGTGACTTTTTTGAGTTTGTGTTTTAATTTGTTCTATATTCTTAGATTCTTTTTCATCTTTCATATTCTTCTAGATGGGTGGTGGCCAAGATGATGAGATTGATATATGATAAGGATGCAGTGGAATCTTCCCATTGGTCCACGTTGTTGGGGGTGGGTTCTGGTAGAGTTGCTTTCGGCATAGCAGACCCATTATTTTGTTTTTTAATGTTTGTGTTTTCATCATAGGTTGTTCTACAGTTCTTATACCAGCAGAGTGGTACAGGTCCTAAAACAAACACTTTGACAAAGTGGGTGTGCCATCTGCATCAAAATTCAATGAAAATTTCCCTCTGCAACATGGTAAACTACAGTTAAATATTCGTAAATCAGATTCTCTAGGAGTTTCTAGCATCTAAATTATATAGTATAATCCTGTTTTTCTTTCAAGTTAAAAGGTTAATAATTTACTTCATTCTTCAGATTCTATGCATGTGGCTGGGAATGAAGGAATGCTTTTATTCACAGGAACATCGCCAGCCCTGGACGTGCCGCCATGAACCATCAAGATATTGGTCTACCTCAAGAATGGACTTATTAACAGCCCAACCATCACGAGGAGTTCAAGTTCAAGACAGATTTGGACAAAAAATAGAAATTGGTTAATATAGGGAATTGAATAGTGTAGGTGGACAAAAAAGATGAAGAGAATATTTCTCTCTCTATTTTTACTATCGGAGGAAAGCCAAATTTAGTCTGAAAAATAGAATAAAAGGTGTCTGAAAGATATTCATACAGGCTTCGTACCTTCTTCTGGCTTATGTAGCTCAATGATAAAGTAGTTGTAACTGAGGATGCCTTTTGAAGTCCCTTAATATAATGCAGTTGTCAGCAATGCAGATGATTGTTATGTTTTTGTTTGCTTTCATGCCGTGCAATTTTTTATATCTATTGCTACTTACGCGTAGGACAAGCAAACCAGCTCCAAATTGGACCATTCTGTCTTAAATGTTATAAAAACATCAGGATCAAACTGAATGTCGTACTTCTGCAACACCTCGCGTTCTCGAAACTCCGCCAATGGAATTAAAGCTACACAAGAGTTCATTAAACTAGTTCAGAAACAGAAAAGATTATATCACCGTTTATATGAAAACTTAATACAAAAACAATAGTGCGGTGCTTACGTGAACCGCTGGGGGACCAGAGAAGGTTTCGGGATTCATCATCAAGAGAGGGCTTAATGTGAATGAGATATAGTGTGTCACCTTTGTCTAGCAGATTATCAGCGGCCCATTTGAGAGCTAATTTGCTTCCCTTTGAGAAGTCCATAGCTACACCTATTTTTCGATCATTTGTCATCTTTTTTTACTTTTTTTTTTTCTCTCTCTCTTCTTCCTGTAAGAAGTTCAACTGACGATCAAAACACCAAATAACTTAAATTTTGAGAATCAATTGGGATTTGAGGAAGATCTATGAAGAAGATATGAGATGGTACTGTTGAGTTGTTGAATTTTAGGTGTGATTTATTTAATGCAAATACAATGAAGGTGGTAATATAATATGCTTTTCTGCAAGTGTCACATACTCACATGCCATGTTTGACAATTCGTCTATGATACATTGAGAAGATTTGATTGAAGACTTGGGTTAGAGCAAGGTTCCCTGAAGACCATCCACTCTAGATAGGATAACTGGTGGAATTGATTACTCAATCAGTATCTATGGCACGTAACAGCTGATAATCATTAAGTCTGGAAAATGAAAGTTAAAATTTATAATGATTTATTGACTCTCAACTGCCATTCCATTCTAATCAACTAGTCAACTCTCCTGGACGCGAAGGATCGGTTTTAACTAAAATGGACTTCACTTGAAACTTGAACAAATATTGATTAAGTTGTCAATGGAGTTAAGGTTTTTCTCACCCAAATAATGGATTAATGATATTTTTCCATCTAGATATTATTAAAAATCACTTTATTATTGAAATTTATTTATATTTCAGTGGCGAGAAAATAATAAACTCGATCCAAACTATTAAAACTTTTAAAGAAGAGAAGTCGATGAGTCTTTTAGTGGTAGAATATTGAATTTTGATGGTTGAGATTGACCGGAATTTGACTTTGGACGGGTGGTTACACAAATTATTGGCGATTGGTGGGGTCGATGCGATAGGGTTTGAAAAGTTTTGGTGAGTGATGATTAAGAAAGAGAATGATGGTAGCGTAAGATCACAACGATTTGGGTAATAAAAATGTATTTTAAAAGTTTGTGGGTGAAAAAGTGTCATTAAATCATTATTAAAGTCTACTCTTATTAATAATATTAACCACCAAGACTTTTTAACTTTTCAACTTCGCTGGTAAGATAATATTAACCACCAAGACTTTTTAGCTTTTCATTCTTCAACTTCACCTGCTAGCTACATTCACCTGCTCCATTAAAACTCTCTTCTAATCTTTTAATTAGGTTTTAACTAACTTGTTCGTCAGCCCCCAACCCCTTCTTGTTTTTGATATCAGTAATCACATCAATTCAGTCGATGTTCTTATGTTAATGGCATGGGAGAGTCCCTTGTCCTTGATCTTGAGTTTGACAGAGTTCTAGCCCACTTCAGGAACCCAGAGGCTGATTTGGCCCATTTTCTTCTCAGAACTTATTATCACTGTTCCTTTGACTAATGGAGGGCCCGAGGCAGAGACCCTGATTTCCAACTTAATGGGTCAAATAAGGCGGTCCAGTTGAGTAAAAACAACTACCCATAACTCAACTGCTCTTTTTATATTTTGCCAGAAAACTGAAGTTTTATCTTAATATAAAATGGCTTCTGCATGGGGAGAATAAAGGGAATATGGAGGAAATTTTTTGGTAAAAAATCCACTTACAAGCTGCCCATTAATGTTGAACTAGTGAGGTTTTTTTTGTCATATAGCAATCTCTAAGTTTAGTATCCAAGTAAAAAATTGACAAGAAACAACTCCATTAACTCACCTAATGCAAAACCAGCTGACTTTGTTGACAAACAAATTATTTGACTCTAGCATCAGACAGAAAACAACTGGGGATGAATTTTCTATCAGTTCCTTAACATAAAGAACAAATAGAATAAAGGTTAAAGCTGCAGGAATTTACAAGACTAAGTTCATATCTTTGTTCCAAGTGAGGGAAATCACAATCCTTAACAAATGGCAGGTGAGTTGTATAGCTGGACAAATGTACGGTCCAACTACTAACGCCAGTTCAACTAAACATTAGTGCCCGAAAACTAGACCCACCAACTGACTAGTTTTAAGTACCAAATGTCCTGTAGCCAATTTATCCTCTCTAAAACAACCATCTTCTCCTATATAAAGCTCACTTTAAAGCTGTGTTTTTGTCCAATATTCATTCAGATTCACTCAGCCTCTCTCTTTTGTGTGTACCTGTGAGGTGCGTGCGTGTGTCAGTGTGTGAGAGACCAAGATATTATGAATCTTGTCTAACCAGCAACACTCATCATAGCGAATCATCAAAACCACCACCTGACCTCTGTCAACTCAACTCTTTTCTGTTGAACACAACTCAAAGCCATTTATTATGGATGTTCACCTACGCAACGCGGATCACTCACTGCCTCCTTCACTGTTTTATGATCTTCAAGATTGTGGTGATACTTCACTCTCAAACTGGGTCTCTGCCTCACCAAACAACAAGCCCATCCCTACCACCGGCAGTTGGTCTTCCTTTGCTTCATCTGACTCTTTTTTAAGTTCGCAAGTTGCGTCAGAAGTGGGTTCGGCGGAGACAGAAAGCGACCCGGACGAAGAGTTCATGGCTGAGTTGATTCGTCAGATGGCTCACTTCATGTTTCAGGATGATGATAAACTAGAAAAGGTAGTTAATTTATTGATCAAGTTAGTTCCTTTCTGGCATTATCTGATTTTAAGACTCTAATTCGTGGTTTACTGCAATTTTCAGTCATGGGGTTCGGCTGGTTCGCCGCAATCAACAGATTGGTCACCTTTACGCATGAACCATGGGAGGCAAATAGATATATCTCGAGATCCGTCACCACCAGGACCAATCATGATGGAGGAGTTTGAGAAGATGAAGATGAATAGTGAAGTCCCTTCAAGCATGAGCAACAGCAACGTTGAGTTTCACTCTAAACAATCTCTTATTGATGATCAAATACGAGCTATTCGAGTAAAGCATAGATCCTGTCAAAATTAGATTGTTTTTTTTTCCTTTCTTTTTCTGCTTATATAACTAATTTTTTTATCTTTCATCTTTTTGAAGTTCCTTAAGCTCAAACAAGAGCAGCTTATGAAACAACTCGAGTACAAAAAACAGCTTAAAGTGTACCAAAACAAAGCGAGAGCTTATGGTGGATATAACAATATTGGGCAAAAGACTGTGCCTTCTCCGACTTCAAGTTCAATTAGCCCATGGTCTAACTCTAACATGCAACAGCAGCAACAGAGCAACCAACAACAACCCAGTTCGGGTATGAGAGCGGTGTTCCTCGGTGAGCCGGGTTCAAAAACTGGGTCAGTTGGAACCGGTGTCTTTTTGCCTAAAGGAATCGGCGGCAACTCTTCCGAATCACGCAAGAAACCAGGTAATATAATTTATACTTGTCTTAAATAAGTATTGATTTTGGGTTTTGGTGCCTTATTTTACTTCTTGATTTCCACGGTTGTTGGGGTAGTTAATTTTGAGTGGACTATCAGTTAGTCTATAGGTCGATTAGGTTTGGATTTTCCATTATTTTGGTTGTGACTTTTTTGAGTTTGTGCTTTTAGATTTGTTCTATATTCTTAGATTCTTTTTCATCTTTTTCATATTCTTCTAGATGGGTGGTGGCCAGGATGATGAGATTGATATATGATAAGGATGCAGGGGAATCTTCCCATATGGTCCACTTGTTTGGGTTTGGGGTCTGGTAGAGTTGCTTTCGGCTAAAATATTAAGCCAATTACAGCAGCAAATTCTTAAGTTAGGATAGATTCTACTTCTAATTAAATCTTCACGATGGTTATCTTATCATCAACATACACACACACACTTTGAAGGCATAGCATGACCTATTATTTTTCGTTTTTAATGTTTAGTTGTTTCATCTATAGGTTGTTCTACAGTTCTTATACCAGCAAGAGTGGTACAGGCTCTAAAACAACACTTTGACAAAGTGGGTGTGCCATCTGCATCAAAATTCAATGAAAATTTCCCTCTGCAACATGGTAAACTACAGTTAATATATTCGTAAATCAGATTCTCTAGGAGTTTCTAGCATCTAAATTATTATAGTATAATCGCTGTTTTTCTTTCAAGTTAAAAGGTTAATAAGTTTACTTCATTCTCTTCAGATTCTATGCATGTGGCTGGGAATGGAAGGAATAGCTTTTATTCACAGCAACATCGCCAGCCCTGGAACGTGCCCGCCATGAACCATCAAGATATGGGTCTACCTCAAGAATGGACTTATTAACAGCCCAACCATCACGAGGAGTTCAAGTTCAAGACAGATTTGGACAAAAAATAGAAATTGGTTAAATATAGGGAATCTGATATAGTGTAGGTGGACAAATAAAGATGAAGATAATATTTCTCTCTCTATTTTTACTATCGGAGGAAAGCCAAATTTAGTCTGAAAAATAAGAATAAAAGGTGTCTGAAAGATATTCATACAGGCTTCTTACCTTCTTCTGGCTTATGTAGCTCAATAGATTAAAGTAGTTGTAACCTGAGGATGCCTTTTGAAGTCCCTTAATAATAATGCAGTTGTCAGCAATGCAGACTTGATTGTTATGGTTTTTGTTTGCTTTCATGCCGTGCAATTTTTTATATCTATTGCTACTTACGCGTAGGACAAGCAAACCCAGCTCCAAATTGGACCATTTTGTCTTTAAATGTTATAAAAACATTGAAGCAAACATTAATTTATGCGATCTCTCATTGCAGGCCTCCGCATGCTGCTTTCTGTGATGAAATGCTGATGCAAAATGCATATTCCTTTCAAAGTCAATTGAACTCTAGCTGGTTCTGATCGAAACTTCCCTTATTTTATTACTAGTTTCTATATAAATATATGTCGGCTGTGACCCATTTGGCCTGCATTTAACATGTCACATAGGTCTTTCGAGGAGTTATATATACTTAATATATTATGAGAAAAATATCAAGAAAATTTGACAGTTGATACATCTACTCTAGGTTTATATCCAAGTTGCTCTAGTGAAGCTGGTTGAACTTTAGTCTTTAGTTAACAGTTGAGTTAGGTTGGCTGTTAAGCGAGAAATTAGTCTACGTATGTGTACTGTTGTCATCTCTTTAATGGCTCTCTCCCTCGTGCAGCTGATGTCCTGGGGAGCTTTGGGATGTCTTGGACTTGGGGGCTGAGTACTTGATGTGGATATCTGCAGTGTCCTTGCTTATGGGGTTGTCGGTTCAGATTCCTTCTATTCGAAGATCTGATGACACGGGGTNTCAGAAATTGCCAAGTCAGTCTACCTCTGAAAATTCAACTCCTTAATTAAATTGCCTTAATTTCTGGGCACTGCCTTCTAATTATCATCGATACGTTTCAAACAAACAATTAATACGTTGTGCTAAGACTTCCAAGTCATGGATCGAACACAAAATGCCATATATGCATGGATTTGCCTTTTTCTAATCGCTTATATTTTCTATGCCTGCGAAAATTGTTGAAATCACAGTCAAAACACGCAACGATGAAAGACTGAAAGTAGGAAAGTAACAAAAACAATGGACTTACAATGTTCCTTCATCCAAGGTTCAAATAAAATAATTTTATTGAGTTTCAGAAATCTATATGATACAATAATAAAAAATATCAACAGTTCATTATTTCTCGTATTATGTTTTCTACTACTATACTAGGGTAATAATAAACCTTATCATATCCTGGGCTAAACTGTTACAGATCCAAATATTTACAAATCAACTTCAAGTCCATTTACTAATTGGATTTACTGTAAAAGGGGCGTTACCTCTCACCCCTGCCTGCTCACCAGAAAATGGGATCCTGTGCAAAGTATGAACCAGCACATCCAACAAAATTAATCAAATGTTATTAAGTAATTTTTAGAATTTTCTTTTATTTAAATCAATTCAATGGAAGAATTGTTAACTTAATTAGCTTTAATTAAATTTATTAGAGAAATCATACATTATGTAAGTGCACGGATAATATTAAGCATATATCACTTTTTAATAATGTGTTTTGTGTAACCAAATTCTATTGATTTTTCACATGAATATCATGATACAGCTATATATAATCTATCGGATATTTAAATTTCTACTCCAACGTACAATTAGCAGCGACGTCACAAACACAAATATTAGGGGCTAGCACGTACGTGCTGACATTATTTTTACCAGGACAACTGGAAGAGGATTCCAGTGTTCTGCCCCCAGAAAGGTCATGTGCATCATCATCTTTATGTGGTGTCTATCATCCCCGTGCAGTGGGATATTATATTAATCACCTATAATGAAATTGAGGTGTATGTAAATTGATTCAAACACCTTATTTATCGATATTTATCGATGAGTATAAAAGTTTAAAGTTCAAAGTCTGTATGTGATTCCTATTCCTATTACTCAGCACACCGTTGTCACTTGTCAATGTAACACTAGTAAGGTAGATAAAATGCCAGCTCTAAGATTCTAAATTGTATCTGAAACTTATAGTAAATAATGTTGGCTGTGCCCGAGGTTAGTTGATAGGATATCTACTCTATATGAGGGTACCTCCAAAGCAAATGAGAGGGAGAGGAGAGTCGATAATAATTGTAGCATACCTCCTTTATTCTCTTATGCCATATAAATAAACCCTACAATATAAAGTCTCAATATTTCAACTAATACCCAAACAAACGGCATTAACATAAAGTATCTAAAACTAACAATAGCTTAAAATCCTAAAATCCTATTCTACTGTTTAACGCCCCATCCGATAATCCTTAGCCCATACAAGAGTTTGCCGAGTCCTTACAGGGTATCTTCCAACATCCCCTTCAATCATCCTTATAGTTTGGTTCTTATCATTAATCAGGTATGCATAAACTAACCCAAAACCTTGGTTGAAAAAAAAAATATTGGCTATGCTTAAATTGCTTACTAATGAATATATTCTTCAATTATGACACATAAGCATGGGTCAATCCAATTGTATTGTCGGCTAAACACACGATAATGAATGTTAACAGATGCATCAATTGATAACACATATAAGTTGACTGTTGACACCTTCAATATCTTACATTATAAGCAATCAATTAAAAATCGAAAGATTGATGACTTAATTTACAATTAGCAACATGATACTTGTTTATTCCAAATCATGGGATAAAGAATTACTTGACTTTGACTAACCATCCTGAATTACTCTTAATATCAGTAAGAGGTGACGATATTGATTTCATGCATTGCAAACCTAATCCAAAGGAAAAGTGACTTGATAGCTCTCACCAGCTAATTTGGTTGTTAATGGAATCTAGTTCTTCAATTTTAAAGAGGCTATCAAATGTTCCAGCCCCTCTTTGATTTGGCTTGATTTGATGTTGCTGGACGTGCTACGTGCGAATAGAAACGCAGGCAAGAACGCAAGAACATATTATTGGCTCAAGGAAAGAAAATGGGTCCAAGATTTCCAATCAAATACTAACCACAACAAATGCATATGAATCCATTGGTTCATTACGAATCTTTGAAAGGAAATTTCTAAACCTTATCATCTCATATACTATGTTTTGCGTATTAATTTAGGATTAGGTGGTTAAAAATTCAACTCGTTAATAAAAAATTAATGGGATGAAGGAAAAACTCGTTAGATATTGTTTTAACTATAATATTCTCTACTTCAATATTATTTTAATCACAATGATAATGTTCTATATTATAAATATTCAAATGGGCTGGCTATTCCACCTAACCATTTTCCCTAATCAAAGACAAAAACAGAGGACTTTGAATTTAGAACTTCCCCGTAGAAATTGTGTTGCAAGCCTCAAAATGTTACCTCTTGGATTTGTACTGACAGTATAAATTTGTAGTAAAATTTTATACAAAATGATGTAAGACATTGGTCTGTATACAAACTTTGATGAGTCTCTCATTTTAAACAAAGGTAACAGTCTCCTTTAATACACAAGCACCACATTAAGAGAGGAAAGAAAAGTCGGACTCCAACAAATTTCGAGCAGCAGCTGCAAGATTCAGAGAGAAAAGAGAGAGCTAGCTGGCCATGGATGGTACGTTGTTGCTATGATCATCGATATGGCATGGGTCAACTCTACAGCATGCGAGGACATTCTTTGGAGCAAAAACTCTGAGTCTCTTCTCGGGTTGGCCTGGAACCAGCTCTGGGATGTAGCTTAGCCTTGATCTTTTTTTTTATTCTGCTGTCCTTGTTGAGTGCTTTCTCATTGCAAATTGATCAACCTGAATCCAACCAGTGTCCCTGGTTTGTTTCAGACTTTCTTGCATGCTATAAGGGTTGGTCTTACTTACTGGTGATTCTGGCTATCTTTCTTTTAATGGAGGTATTTTCCTGGCTGCTGTGGCTGGACATGCCTTGGGTTTTTTGCTTTTCGGTAGTCGTCTCAAAAGATCAACACCAACACCTCTTCCAGCTAACCGTTGATGTTTAGTTCTCTTCCTGTTTTTCTTGTGTTTATTTCTTTATTTTCTATACAAATTCAGCATGAACATTGTATATGTGCTTGATTCCCCTAGGGTTTAGTTTACTTGGCTTTATGAACTTGTACGTTGTCTATAATAAAGTATTTGCAAAACAAACAATATCACAATTTGTGTATTAAAGGTCCATTCATGATTTACTGTTGTCAAAAGGAAATAATATGTATACTTGTTTAGAAGGTTTGTTTTAGAGTCAGAAAAGATTTGTTTTATTAATTTTTCTTTTATTTGAACCAATCCATTGGAATAATTGTCAATTATTTACCATTAATTATGTATAGAGCAATCATGCTAAACCTAAACACATGAAACGACGATTTCACAATACATAATATAATCTATCCTTGAATGGATCCCAAGCATCAACAGAGAAGGGACCAAAGGTTGCCGAAGAAGTTGGAATCAAGCCATATTGTTCTGCCAAGATTCCAGAGTATTGGATTGATTGCTGATAGAGTTTGAGGCTTGAACTTTGAAGATTGTCTTGTGTGGTATAAATGGGAATGAGTTAGGGATTTTGTAATCAGTAAAGATTAGCTCACAACCCAATCTTATAATTTTTTTTCTTATAATCTCGACTTGACAGTTTGCAATTAGACAGCACAATCCATAGCAAGCAGATAGGGCCCATTTGCAATCTAATCAATTACAAACTGTCATATCAGAGTTGTAGAAAAAGTTGGTGAGATTGAATTATAAGTATGGTATTACCCATATGTAGAATGGAAGGAGAATTTCGGGTTTTTTTCATTTGTTTAGTTAACGAAGCCTAGGGTCTCTGGACTTTGTTGTAACATGGGCTGTCTTCGTTAAAGGCCCAACTTTAAATGGCAAAAGCCTCCAGGACCAATCGGTTGCTTCTCTTGTCCTGGTTAGATCCCAAGTCTATCAAGCAATGAAGATGTAATTTCTTCATGATAGAAACATTTGTGTCTGAGACTTTCCTAGAATATCCCTTGGAAAGTGACTTGTTTGTTAATGAAATCTGGTCCCCACTTTGATTTTTTCTTTGATGGTCAATGGAACCAATCACAATCGTTGCGCGTCTATCTTTTTTCCACAATCCACACTAGTTAAGGAAAACACAAGAAACAATACGTAAGTCTGTAACTAGCAACAAAATATCTGTCGCATTTAAATCTTATCATCTCATATTATGAACATTCAAATGAGGTGGCTATTAATTCCACCAAGCTTTTTCCCTGATTAAACCGAACACGAGGACTTGAGTCTTGACTCTGGAATTTCCCATAGAAATAGCGTGGCGACCTCCAAAATTTCTCCCTTGGATTTGTACTGCATGTAAATATACATATCGTATACATAAAATATTACTTTTCCAATGTTACGACGGTCGTCAAATTAAACAAACGTAAAATCTCCTTTAAATACACAAGCACCACCATAAATAGACGAAAGAAGAAAGAGTTGTCCAACTCCATCCAACCCAATTCAGCTAGAGAGCAAGCCAGCCATGGATGGTATGAATGGTATGGATCCTCAACATGGCATGGATCATCAACATGGCATGCCATCAGGCCACGGCTCTCTGACGCACTGACCTTCTTTTGGGGCAAAACTCCGAGATTCTCTTCTCAGGTTGGCCGGAGAAAGCTCTGGGATGTATGCGTTAGCCTTGATCTTTGTTTTTGTTCTGGCTGTCCTTGTTGAGTGGCTCTCTTATTGCAGATTGATCAAACCTGAATCCCACCATGTATTCGCCGGTTTGATTCAGACTTTCTTGCATCCAAAGGTTGGTCTTGCTTACTTGGTGATGCGGGCCATCATGTCCTTTATGAGGCTTTTTTCTTGGTTGTTTTGGCTGGACATGCCTTGGGGTTTTTCCTTTTTGGTACTCGGATTTTCAACAAAGCACACCCTCCTCCACCCCTAGCTAAAACGCTGACCTTCCAAACTCGAGTTGTTGATAACATGGATCGGAGAAGCGAAATTAACAAGAGTTACATAATATGTCACTTTTTCTCTTATATTTTGATTTTTAGTACTTCTCTTCATGTTTTTCTTTGCGTTTTCTGTATATTCAACGTGAAATGGTATTATTATGCTTGATAATTTCCATTTTATGCCCCAGTTGTAAGAACAGAAATCTGAGATGTTTTAATTATCCTTGGCTTAAGTTATTGTGCGGTGATATTTTGGATGTGTGGTGGTGGTAAATAGAACACAGAAATTATCTCCGTTTTTGTGGTTGTGAAGAAAACTAGAGCAGCCCGTGAAAAAATTTCCATTGAATGCTAAACGCCGTGGTACGAATGCATGTGCTCTGTCCAAATTGCATCAGAAAGAGAACAACACATTTTCCCACCCAAGTTGGAAAGTACACTCTTTCTCACCCATCTTTCAAAATAACACTTTTACACCCTTGTAAGTTTTGTTAATATTTTCTGAACGAAAAGACAAAACACTTAAATATGTTTCTTTTTAATGTTATTATAAATTAAAATTAGTAAGTTAAAGTCTTTACGTTTATTTATAGTTCAGGTGTAAATTATTTTTTTTTTCCTTTTTTATTTTAATTGGTGGAATATTGATTTTTTATGTTAATTATAAAAATGAAACATTATATTTAAAAAAAAATATTAAAAATTTATAGATTATTGAATAATAACAATGAGATATAGATACATTATAAATAAATAAATATTAAGGTATTTAACTTTAAATAATTTCATAGCATTACTCCTAACTTTTTAGGCAGGGATTTAACAGAAACATAATAGAATGTAACGAAGAGTGAGAAAATATCATTTTGAAACTTGAAAGACGAAAAAGTATCGTTTCGTCAAACCTTGAATGGAAAAATGTCGTTTCTCCCAGTCATCACTTTTAGTTTAACTTCTCAGCAGCATTGGAATCACAACCGACACTGATCTTTCCATTAATCAAACAGCCGGATCCAATAATTTATCAATCCATGTTAACTGTTACACCCAGTTTATATAATAATATTATTGAAGAAGAGAAGAGAAAAGAATCATTAATTGTCTTAATTATTTCTTCTTAGATCATTAAGTTAGGCCATGTGGTCTTTTTTATTTGTTTATCATTCTGACTCAAAAGACCTTCTACTTGTTTTCATCTGAGATGAAGCACACAACTGGGACAAGCAGGGCTTAAAAAAAGTGATGTTGTCCCACAAATGGATAAAGTGGCTTGAAATATAACATTTAACAGTGAGAAATGATTTACCCTGCATGCGTTTTCAAGTGGATTGTCTCTCAAGATGCATAAATGGTAGGGGACAAAACAAGCTCAGGCGATTGCTTGGTCATGTTTTCTCAATCTTAAAGGAATATTTGCACCCCACTCTGGGCTGAAATTGATTGATCATTCTTGGTTTACAATCACCGGGAAAGTGAAAAGTCACTTGCTAATCATCCAACACATACATGACTTATATTATAGATATTAATTTGTACACACAACACATGACATGAAACGGTGGGTTGATGATGATGTTGCTTGCTTTGAAGACGCCTTCAAACATGGCGTCTTTTTGGGCATATCATCGCTTTGATTACTGCAGATTAAGTGCACGGCTATCAATAAACCACAAGGGACCACTGCCCTCTGATTGGAACATTGTTTCAGAAACCCAGCTGGAAGCCAATTAAGGTTGTTTCTAGGATAAAATGACAAAGAGAGAGAATCCAAGATGACTGTATCGTTAGAGTCAGTTGAGTTGATCTCGAAGACTTGGCAACATGTGCAAATGAGCTATCAAACTGGCCCGGGTGGAAACCCAGGTACACGGCTGGTTGAAGTTTGTTCCACGTAAACTTTCTGGTAAAATGGGTTTCCCCAAGGTCTTGTGCATGGCAACAAGTTAATAAAGTCTTTTCATGATGATTAAATGATCTAGAATTTGGAAAATGAGTCACAGACCGCTATTTCGAAGGACTTATACTACTCAATATCACGGGTTTGGAACACCATGACAAAATAACCAAGCAAACAAAAGGGTCAAAGTCTATTGAGGTAAACAAACATGTCATATGTGAGGGAAGGAGTTGTTTGTGGCTGAAGTTCGACAGTCACTACTTGGATTTCTAAAAGATTTGAAGTCTAAACTTTGTCAGTGGATAACCCATTATCGAGAGGCCCACTAGGCATTACTTCAATATGTTGTATCGCTAAATAATGATCAACAAACTTCTAAAATATCATTTTATTATCTAAATTTATATTTCAATGGCAAATAAAAAGTAAATTCAATCCAGACTATTGAAATTTTTGAGGAGGGGAGACTGATTAGTCTTTTAGTAGTAGAAGATTAGATTTTAATGATTGGGATTGATTGAATTTTGACTTAGGAGGGGTGATTTAGCAAACCCTATCGGTTGATTGTCGACAATTTACGAGATTGATAGAAATAAGGTTTGAGAGGTTTTAATAAGTGATGATTAGATAAGAGAATGATAGTAGTGTGAGGTCATAACGATGCCAAAATAAAAAACAGAATATAAATTTAAGTAGTAAAATAATATTTTAAAATTCTGTGGATGAGAATTAACCCATTATTTGGGTGGGAAAAAGTCATTTACTCAACTCTTAACTAGAAATTCTTACGCTAAGCGCTTGAAGAAGAGCCTTAAAATCTGTAGTTCATTTGGCTGTTGAGGTGGTTATCCACATAACTAAGTAACCACAAATTAATTGGGTTGGCAACATTCAAGTATCGGAACAGAATTTGGGGTGAATGGCCATTTAATTCAACCAAAACCACAATGCCTCTTGCCTCATTAGTTCACATATAGCAACCTTATATTGAATGTTCTAATCATAGAACGAAGGATTCATTAAAATATTTAAAATTCCAACTAATTCTGCTAGGTTTCGTTGAATTCATGAAGTTTTAGAATTGCATACCGTTTTGGACAATTGGAGTTTTCAATTGAGCTAGATGGTGCTAATCAATAATGCATAATTGGAAGAGGTTGTTGTGGAACTCTCGGCTGTCGCTGTTCACTACGAATTAAGCAGGAAAATGGAAAATAAATGAAACACCAACTACTTTTTACTTCCATTTAATGGACTCCTGAGACCAGCTGCTCACTTGATTTAATAATTGGCACCAGTAGCTGTTTCAATTCCTCCGAGGCCACATGGATATATAGGTATGGGTGAAGATGATCACAGTGATCATTAATTCAAATTAGTTATGTTAAGAGTTCTGAGAATGAAATTATTCACTATAATTGCAGTGGGATGTAGTCATAGACGGACCAACCCCCTAATGGCATGCATCAAAGTTTTAATGAGAGCCGCAGCAACGTTGCTTGTACCCGGCTTGATAATTCGGCAATGAGAGAGCCATTCAATTAGCAGCGACGTCACAAACACAAATATTAGGGGCTAGCACGTACGTGCTGACATTATTTTTACCAGGACAACTGGAGAAGAGGATTTTAGTGTTCTTGCCCCAGAAAAAGGTCATGTGCATCATCATCTTTATGTGGTGGTCTATCATCCCCGTGCAGTGGGATATTATATTAATCACCTATAATAATTAATTGAGGTGAAAGTAAATTGATTCAAACACCTTATTTATCGATATTTATCGATGAGTATAAAAGTTTAAAGTTCAAAGTCTGTATGTGAGTTCCTATTCCTATTACTCAGCACACGGTTGTCACTTGTCAATGTATAACACTAGTAAGGTAGATAAAATGCCAGCTCTAAGATTCTAAATTGTATCTGAAACTTACAGTAAATAATGTTGGCTATGCCCGAGGATTAGTTGATAGGATAATCTACTCTATATGAGGGTACCTCCAAAGCAAATGAGAGGGAGAGGATTAGTTTGCCCAGTCCTTATAGGGTATCTTTCAACATCCCCTTCAGTCATCCTTGTAGTTTGGTTCTTATTATTAATCAAGGTGTGCGTAAACTAACCCGAATACCTTGGTTGAAAAAACTATATTGACTATGCTTAAATTACTTACTAATGAATATTAATCTTTCAATTATGACACATAAGCATGGGTCAATCCAATTGTATTGTCGGCTAAAACACACGATAATGAATGTTAACAGATGCATCAATTGATAACACATAATAAAGTTGACTGTTGACACCTTCAATGATCTTACATTATAAGCAATCGATTAAAAATCGAAAGATTGATGACTTAATTTAACAATTATGCAACATGATACTTGTTTATTCCAAATCATGGGATAAAGAATTATCTGACTTTGACTAACCATCCTGAATTACTCTTAAATATCAGTAAGAGGGTGACAGATATTGATTTCATGCATTGCAAACCTAATCCAAAGGAAAAGTGACTTGATAGCTCTCATCCAGCTAATTTGGTTGTTAATGGAATCTAGTTCTTCAATTTTAAGAGAAGGCTATCAAATGTTCCAGCCCCTCTTTTGATTTGGCTTGATTTGATGTTGCATGGACGTGCGACGTGCGAATAGAAACGCAGGCAAGAACGCAAGAACATATTATTGGCTCAGAGGAAAAGAAAATGGGTCCAAGATTTTCCAAATCAATATACTAACCACAACAAATGCATGAATCCATTGGTTCATTACGAATCTTTGAAAGGAAATTTCTAAACCTTATCATCTCATATACTATTGTTTTGCGTATTAATTTAGGATTAGGTGGTTAAAAATTCAACTCGACTTAATAAAAAATTAATGGGATGAAGGAAAAACTCATTAGATATTTGTTTAACTATAATATTCTCTATCTTCAATATTATTTTAATCATCAAATGATAATGTTCTATATATATAAATATTCAAATGGGCTGGCTATTCCACCTAACCATTTTCCCTAATCAAAGACCAAAACAAGAGGACTTTGAATTTAGAACTTCCCCGTAGAAATTGTGTTGCAAGCCTCAAAATGTTACCTCTTGGATTTGTACTGACAGTATAAAATTTGTATGTAAAATTTATTATACAAAATGATGTAAGACATTATGTCTGTATACAAACTTTGATGAGTCTCTCATTATTAAACAAAGGTAACAGTCTCCTTTAAATACACAAGCACCACATTAAAGAGAGGAAAGAAAGAGTCGGACTCCAACAAATTTCGAGCAGCAGCTGCAAGAGTCGAGAGAGAAAAAGAGAGAGCTAGCTGGCCATGGATGGTACGTTTGCTATGGATCATCGATATGGATTGGGTCAACTCTACAGCATGCAGAGGACATTCTTTTGGAGCAAAAACTCTGAGATTCTCTTCTCTGGTTGGCCTGGAACCAGCTCTGGGATGTATTCGTTAGCCTTGATCTTTGTTTTTATTCTGGCTGTCCTTGTTGAGTGGCTTTCTCATTGCAAATTGATCAAACCTGAATCCAACCAGGTAGTCGCTGGTTTGTTTCAGACTTTCTTGCATGCTATAAGGGTTGGTCTTACTTACTTGGTGATTCTGGCTATCATTTCTTTTAATGGAGGTATTTTCCTGGCTGCTGTGGCTGGACATGCCTTGGGGTTTTTGCTTTTCGGTAGTCGGTCATTCAAAAGATCAACACCAACACCTCTTCCAGCTAAAACCGTTGATGTTTAGTTCTCTTCCTGTTTTTCTTTGTGTTTATTTCTTTATTTTCTGTACAAATTCAGCATGAAACATTGTATTATGTGCTTGATTCCCCTAGGGGTTTAGTTTACTTGGCTTTATGAACTTGTACGTTGTCTATAAATAAAGTATTTGCAGTGAGGTATATGAATTGACTCCAGGCTTTTACAAAATTTCTTCTACGCTTTTTATTTACAGATAATGATATGCAGGTATTGCTTTAGGATTTATGAACATGTCTTCCTTTGAGGTTTATTCAAGGTCTAACTTTACCTTCATTACTGAGAACTGTCTTATATATACGTCATCAATACATTTCCAACAAACAATTAATAGGTTGTGTTGTAAATTACGTAGTCGTGTTATGACCTGAAGTCCTACATCGCTCTCATGTGAGAATAATTGAGTGTTTAAATAAGGTTAATAGTGTTCAAAGTGATGATATTTTGCTTGAAACAAACCTTTTTTGATTGTTAAACTGAAGCTGGAAACTGGTGGCAAAAAACAGAATTTGAAGTGGTGAAGTTGGCCTGGGAGCAGTTCACCGAAGCTGGTTTTTAGGCATGCTGAAGTGATTGTTTTTGGTGAATTCAGCATACATTAAGCTGCCTACTTTATGTTATGTTAATATGATGTAATTTCAGTTGCTATAGATGTATGGTTAAGATGTATTTTGGGATTAAAATATGTTTTATGTTAGGTACAACAGTGGATTAAAATGTATAAACTTTGTTGCTTTTTTATGAATGAAAACAGAACAAGAAAGCCTTCTACTCTCTCATCTCTTCTTTCTTCTCTCTTCTTTGTTCTCTCTTCTTTGTTCTCTCCCGTACAATTAGTCTAAGTTTCAGCTCTAATAACCAACAACTGGTATCAAAGCTCTATTTGATCTTAAGGGGCCTGCAGAGCTTTCATTTCGGCACTTACTCAATCAGTCCTCATCACACCAAAAACAAGTCTTTATGGCAGCAAGTTTAGCCTCACTCTTACCTCTAACCTTCAATGGAGAACAGTACCACATGTGGGCTGTTAAGATGAAGGCTTATCTAAGAGGTCAGAGCTTATGGCAGTACATAGAAGAAAAGAAGCAACAGCTACAGTTGGGGCCAAATCAAACCTTGAATCAAATAAGAATCCATGAAGAAGAAACTGCAAAAGCTCCAAGAGCTCTGTCTCATATACATACTGTTGTTACGAATAAAGTTTTCACAAGGATAATGGCTTGTGAGACAGCAAAGGAAGTTTGGGACAAGCTCAAGGAAGTTGGAGGAAGTAGCCAAACCCGAAATATGCAAGTTTTGAACTTAAGGAGAGAGTTTGAGACATTAAAGATGCAAGAAGCTGAAGTGGTTAAGGAGTATGTTGATAGATTAATGAATGTGGTTAACAAGATAAGGTTGCTAGGGGAGGAGATAACAAATAAACGAATTGTAGAAAAGGTATTGGTGAGCCTACCCAAGAGGTTTGAATAAAAAATCTCCTTTTTGGAGGATTCCAAGGACTTGTCTCAGATCACCTTAACTTAGCTTGTTCATGCACTTCAAGCTCAAGAGTAAAGAAGGAAGTTGAGGCAGGAAGACAATGGTGAAGCAGCATTGGTTGTCCTGCAAAAGGGCAAGCCAACTCAAGGAGGAAACAAGAAACATGTTGGAGATAAGAGAGGAAAGGAGAAAGCCAACAATCAGTGGAATAAACCAGGAAGTTTCAGGGGTTTTCCACCATGTTCTCATTGTAAAAAGAAGAACCATGCAGAGAGTAAATGCTGCTTCAAACCAAATATTCAATGCAGGGCATGTAAGCAATTCGGCCACATTAAACAATTATGCAAAAACAAACCACACCAACCAACACAGCAAGCACAAATGCCTGAAGATCTACAGCAAAATTTAGAATCAAAGTAGCTATTTGTGGCCTCCTGCTATGCTGTTCAGTTCAATGATAGAGCTTGGCTGATTGACAATGGATGTACAAATCATATGACACCTGATCTGGAGAATTTTGTGAGTCTAGACCAATCATACCAGTCAAGAGTAAAGGTTAGAAATGGTGACTATGTGAAGGTTAAAGGCAGAGGAGATGTGGCTATGTAGACCTTGATAGGTACAAAGATCATTACTAATGTTTTGTTTGTTTCTGAAATCAATCAAAACCTGCTTAGTGTAGGACAGATGCTAGAAAGAAACTACACTCTGCATTTTGAAAATCAATCCTGCACAATATTAGATAATGAGGGAAATGTGATTATGTATGTAAAGATAGTGGGAAAAAGCTTCCCAGTTGTGCTAAAAAAATCAGAATTTCAAGCCATGTTAGTGAATTCAGATGACACAGACCTATGGCATAAAAGGTATGGTCATTATCATTATGCTGGTCTTAGGCAAATAAAGCTAAAAAATATGGTTCATACCTTACCCGAAATAGAAGAGAATGAGAGTTTGTGTAGAGCATGCCAAATAAGGAAACTTAGTTGACCTAATTTTCCAACAAACCAGGCTTGGAAAGCTATTGAAAAGCTCCAATTGGTACACACTGATGTGTGTGGACCAATGCAAACTCCATCCCTGAGTGGATCCAAGTACTTTACTTTGTTTATTGATGATTATTCAAGAATGACTTGGGTGTACTTCCTAAAACAAAAAGGTGAAGTTGCTGCTGTGTTTAGGAGGTTTAAAACTCAAATTGAAAACCAAGTCGGTGTAAGGATAAAGACTGTGAGAAGTGATAATAGGGGTGAATATACCTCATGAGAGTTTGAATCAATATGCAGGGATGCTGGAATATGGCACCAGTATAGTTGTCCTTACACTCCTCAACAAAATGGAGTGAGTGAAAGGAAAAATAGGACAATGATAGAGATGTCAAGATACATGCTGGCTGAAAAAGGGTTGCCAAATGAGTTGTGGGCAGAATCTGTGAACACTAGTGTGTACTTGTTGAATAGGCTTCCAACCAAGGCTTTAAAAGATCAAACTCCATTTGAAGCATGGTATGGAGTCAAGCCTCAAGTGGACCATCTTAGAATCTTTGGTAGTGTATGTTATGTCCTCATTCTAGCCATCAAAAGATCCAAACTTGATGACAAAGCAAAAGCTAAAATCCTAGTTGGTTACAGCCACCAATCTAAGGTATACATAATTTATGTTCTAGAGACTAAAAAGGTGGCGATTTCAAGGGATGTGAGGGTTGATGAAAGGTCTATTTGGAACTAGAAGGAGAAGAAAATTCAAGATGATACAAGGCCACACCAAAGGGAGCAAGCTACTGACCAATTTGATGAGGCAGATTCTGATGCAGAAGGAGAAACATCAATTAGAGGGACCAAACCTCTTGCTGAGATTTATAGGAGATGCAATGTAGCTATGCTTGAACCAACATCCTATTTAGAGGCAGTGAAGTCAGAGGCATGGAGAATTGCAATGCAGGAGGAGTTGTCCATGATAGAAAAGAATGGAACATGGAAGTTTGTGGATAGACCTGCCGAGAGAAAAGTGATCTAGGTTAAATGGATCTTCAAGAGAAAATTGAACCTTAATGGTTCAGTTTTGAAGCACAAAGCCAAACTTGTTGTCAAAGGCTTTGCACAGCAACATGGCATAGACTTTCAAGACACATTTGCATATGTTACTAGACATGATACAATTCGGTTAATCCTTGCATTGACAGCTCAATTCAAGTGGAAAGTTTGCCAAATAGATGTCAAGTCAGTCTTCTTAAATGGTTGGCTTGATGAAGAAATCTTTGTTGAACAACCCGAGGGACATGGAGTAAGAGGGAAAGAAGATAAAGTTTATTTGTTGAAGAAGGCTTTATATGGCCTAAAACAAGCTCCAAGGGCTTGGTACAGCAGGATTAATGATTACCTGGTCAGCCTAGGATATGCAAGGAGTCCAAATGAGCATACTTTGTATGTAAAGAAGTTCAATGAAGATGTGATCATGGTTTCCTTGTATGTAGATGATTTGCTGGTGACAAGAAACAATTCCATTTAGGTTGAAGAGTTTAAAAAGGCAATACACAAAGAGTTTGAGATGATTGACTTAGGAGAAATAACTTACTTTCTTGGAATGGAAATACATCAATCTCAAAATGGCATTTTTATATGTCAAAAGAAATATGATGATGAGATGCTCAAGAAGTTCGGGATGGATGGATGTAAATCAGTTGGCACACCTTTGGTGCAAAATCAGAGATTATGTAAAGAGGATAGAGCAGCCCTGGTGGATGAAACAAATTATAGAATTTCAGTTGGGAGTTTGCTATATTTAATAGCAACAAGACCTGATCTAATGCTTGCCACTAGTCTCCTATCAAGATTTATGAGCAAACCAAGTGAGGAGCATCTTAAAGCAGCTAAGAGCGTGTTGAGGTTTATCAAAGGAATAACAGATCATGGAATCTAGTTCAGGAAGTCTGAAAACTTCATATTGGTGGGTTATGCAGATAGTGATTAGGGTGGTTCTTGTGATGATATGCGAAGCACATCAGGGTATGTTTTCTTATTGAATTGTGGAGTCTTTTGCTGGTCTTTCAAGAAGCAAGAAATAGTTGCTCAATCCACTGCAGAAGCTGAATACATATCAGCTGTTGCGGCAGTAAATCAAGCCATATGATTGAGGAATATGCTAAATGATTTGGAGGTAAAACAATGTGAGCCTACTAAATTTTTTTGTGATAATCAATCGGCTGTAGCTATGACAAAGAATCCAATCATGCATGGTCAAACTAAACACATAAAAATCAAGTTTCATGCAGTGAGAGAGGCTAAGCAATGTAGGGAAATCAGATTGACTCACTACAGGGGAGAAGATCAATTGGCGAATGTCTTTACAAAGGCTTTATGTAAGTCCAAGTTTGAAGATCTTAAACTTAAAATTGGTGTCTCAAGCAAAAATATCAAGGAGGAGTGTTCAAAGTGATGATATATTGTTTGAAACAAACCTTTTTTTATTGTTAAACTGAAGCTGGAAACTAGTGGCAAAAAGCAGAATTTGAAGTGGTGAAGTTAGCCTGGGAGCAGTTCACTGAAGCTGGTTTTTACGCATGCTGAAGTGATTGTTTTTGGTGAATTCAACATACATTAAACTGCCTACTTTATGTTATGTTAATATGATGTAATTTGAATTACTAAAGATGTATGGTTAAGATGTATTTTGGGATTAAAATATGTTTTATGTTAGGTACAACAGTGGATTAAAATGTATAAACTTTGTTGCTTCCTTATGAATGAAAACAGAACAAGAAAGCCTTCCACTCTCTCATCTCTTCTTTCTTCTCTCTTCTTTGTTCTCTCCCGTGCAATTAGTCTGAGTTCCAGCTCCAATAACCAACAAATAGGTCTACACTTAACAAATGCATTTTGGGCTTGAAGCTAGGAACAAAACTGTTGAGGCCTTGTAGTATCAAAACAACAATATCACAATTTGTGTATTAAGATGTCCAAGTCAATGATTTGCTGTTGTCAAAATGAAATAATATACTTGTTTAGAAGGTTGTTTTAGAGTTTGAAAAGATTTGATGCTATTAATTTTTCTTTTATTTGAACCAATCCATTGGAATAATTGTCAATTAGTTACCATTAAATTAATGTATTAGAGCAATCATGCTAAACCATAAACACATGAAAACGACGATTATCACAAATACATAATATAATCAATCCTTTAATGGATCCCAAGCATCAGGCACATAGCCACAAAGAGACTTGTGGGTTCAATTGAACCCACTGAACTTTTAAAAAGTTTTAAAAAAGTATGCATTTGGTTCATTATTTCTACCCATATTCCTAATCCTATTCCCCAAATATTGTTTGGCACATTATTCCAGAAATATTAGTGTATTTTTTTAATTACTTTTAGACCCCTTAAGTTTATTAATATCACTAAATACCCCTAGAAAAAAGTTTAAAAATTAGCAAAAATACCCCCACCCACCCATACTTGCCAGATTTCAGCAACCACCGTCGGTGGTAGCCGGAATCTGTCACAACGCTTACACCACGATCGGAACTGGTCGGTTATTCACCGATCTGGCCGTCAGCGACGGCCAAAGATGGACCTTTACGGCCATCGACGACCACATTTGGCCATAGATCTAGCTTTTTTCGGCCAGATCCGTGGTGGATCTAGCCGGAAAAGGCCATATCGATGCGTTACGACACAGATCCGACCGGTCTATGTTGTAACGTAATTTTTCGACCAGATTCCGACGGTGGTGGCCGGAATCTGGCACTGCAGATAGTGGGGGTGTTTTTGTCATTTTATATATTTGGGTGTTTAATTAAATTAGCAAACCTAAGGGTTTTTTTATAAATTTTTAAATTTTACCTCGTAATACTCTCATATTCAACTACCCAATATTATTCCCAAAATCCTATCCAAAATAATGAACCAAACGCACCCATTAATGTTTTATTGATTTTACAATTTTAACCCCCAGTTAACTTCATGTTGACCCCACAAAATAAATTATTAATTAATACTTTTTTAATTTTTCTCTTTTCTTCGTTTCGTTTGCTTTTCTGTCAAATTATATTTTTCCTTTTGGTTGGATATTCAAGAAAGACAACTCTTTTGGATTACAAGGTAAAATGATGTTTTTTTTTTTTTTTTTTTTTTAACTTAAAATTCTTTTCTTTTAGCTTTCTTAATTGATAAAACATCATGAACCATGAGTTTTTGTTGAGTTTAATAAATGAGTTTGAAATTGAAAGATTAAATTAATATATTTTGATGTGGGTTTTGATTTAATCTTATTTATGTTGAGGTATGGGTTAATTTGTTATTGTTTTAAGTTGCGTTTGATAAATTTTGGTTAGTTATTGAGTTAATTTTGAATGGTTTAAAGAATTGATAAAATCCTAAGTTACAGAGATTTGGGCATTATACAACATTTTCAGAATATAAAAAATCGTCGATGACAATAATAGAATTGATAATTTGATTTGTATAACTTCTAAAATTACATTTTATGTTTATCACTTCAGTATATATTTTATTATAAATTTATCGACTTTGATATTTTGAACCCACTGACTTAGAATTTTGGTTACGTCCCTACCAAGCATCAACAAAGAAGGGACCAAAGGTTGCCAAAAAAGCTTGGAATCAGAGCCATATTGTTTCTAAGAATTCCAGAGTATTGGATTGATTGTTGAGTAGAGTTTGAGGCTTGAACTTTGAAGAATTGTCTTTGATGGTATAACATGGGAATGAGTTGGGGATTTTGTAAGCAATAAAGATTGGCTCACAACCTAATCTTATAAGTTTTCTCTTACAATCTCGACATGACAGTTCGAAATTAGACAAGCACGATCCATAACAAGCAGGTAGGGCCCATTTTCCATTTGACCAATTGTAAACTATCACGTCAAAATTATGAGAGAAAATTTATGAGATTAAGTTATAAGTGTGGTATTACTCGTTTGTAAGAGTGGAAGGAGAATTCCAGGTTTTTTCATTTGTTTAGTTAACGAAGCCTAGGGGTCTCTGGACTTTGTTGTAACATGGGCTGTCTTCGTTAAAGGCCCAACTTTAAATGGGCAAAAGCCTCCAGGACCAATCGGTTGCTTCTCTTGTCCTTGGTTAGATCCCAAGTCTATCAAGCAATGAAGATGTAATTTCTTCATGATAGAAACATTTGTGTCTGAGACTTTCCTAGAATTATCCCTTGGAAAGTGACTTAGATACAAGTTGTTTGTTGATGAAATCTGGTCCTTAAATTTTAAGAGAAGAGTATCAATATTCCTACCCCACTTTGATTTTTTCTTTGATGTTTAATGGAAAACCAAATCACAAGTTGGAGCGACTCATTTTTTTTTCCCCCACAATCCACACTAGTTGAGGAAAACAACAAGAAACAATACTGTAAGTCTGTAGCTAGCAACAAAATAACCCCAAGGAATTGCTCTCCCGGTCAAGGAGATTTGTTCAATTTTTTAAATTTCTGGATTCAAACCTTAGGGTCACCTACCACAATAACATTATGACTTACCTGGTTCTTTGATCTTGTAGGGTGTTCAATGGATCTTAATGATTAATTGAGGTACGCAAAAACCAACTCAGACACCCTGGTTACCAAAAAAAAAAAAAAAACTAGCAACAAAATATCTACACGTTTAAATCTTATCACTTATATATATGAATATTCAAATGAAGTGGCAATTAATTCCACCTAAGCTTTTTCCCTGATTAAGACCCAAAACAAGAGGACTTGACTCTGGAATTTACCCATAGAAATAGCGTGGCGACCTCCAAAATTTTTCCTCTTGTATTTGTACTGCATGTAAATATACATATCTTATACAATAAAATATTACTTTTCCAAATGTACGACGGTCTGTCAAATTAAACAAACGTAATAATCTCCTTTAAATACACAAGCACCACCATAAATAGACGAAAGAAAGAAAGCGTAGTCCAACTCCATCCAACCCAATTCGAGCTAGAGAGCAAGCCAGCCATGGATGGTATGGATCCTCAACATGGCATGGATCATCAACATGGCATGCCATCAGGCCACGGCCCTCTGACGCACATGACCTTCTTTTGGGGCAAAAACTCCGAGATTCTCTTCTCAGATTGGCCTGGAGAAAGCTCTGGGATGTATGCGTTAGCCTTGATCTTTGTTTTTGTTCTGGCTGTCCTTGTTGAGTGGCTCTCTTATTGCAGATTGATCAAACCTGAATCCCACCATGTAGTCGCCGGTTTGATTCAGACTTTCGTGCATGCCATAAGGGTTGGTCTTGCTTACTTGGTGATGCTGGCCATCATGTCCTTTAATGGAGGCGTTTTCTTGGTTGTTTTGGCTGGACATGCCTTGGGGTTTTTCCTTTTTGGTACTCGGATTTTCAACAAAGCAACACCTCCTCCACCCCTAGCTAAAAGCGCTGATCTTCCAAACTCGAGCTGTTGATAACATGGATCGAAGAAGCCAGAAATTAAGCAAGAGTTACATATATATGTCACTTTTTCTCTTATATTTTGATTTTTAGTACTTCTCTTCATGTTTTTCTTTGCGTTTTCTGTATAAATTCAACGTGAAATGGTATTATTATGCCTGATAATTTCCATTTTATGCTCCCAGTTGTAAGAACAGAAAATCTGAGATGTTTTAATTATACTTGGCTTAAGTTATTGTGCGTGAGATTTTGGATGTGTGTGGTGGTGGTAAATAGAACACAGAAATTATCTCCGATTTTTGTGGTTGTGAAGAAAACTAGAGCAGCCCGTGAATAATAAATTTCCATTGAATGCTAAACGCCCGTGAGTAAACGAATGCATGTGCATCTGTCCAAAAATTGAATCAGAAAGAGAGAACAACATTTTCCCACCCAAAGTTTGGCGAAAGTACACTTTCTCACCCATCAAGTTTCAAAATAACACTTTTACACCCTTGGTTAAGTTTTGTTAATATTTTCTGTTAACTGAAAAGACGAAAATACTCTTAAATAGTTTCTTTTTTATTAGTTTATTATAAATTAAAATTTAGTTAAGTTAAAGTCTTTACTCGATTATTTATTAGTTCAGGTGTAAATATATTTTTTTTTCCTTTGTTTATTTAATTAATTGGGAATATTGATTTTTTATGTTAATTTATAAAAATGAAAAACATTATATTATAAAAAATATTATAAATTTAGTAGATTATTGAATAATAACAATGAGATATAGATACATTATAAATAAATAAATATTAAGGTAATTTAACTTTAAATAATTTCATAGCATTACTCCTAACTTTTTAGGCAGGGATATTAACAGAAAACATAATAGAATGTAACGAAGAGTGAGAAAATATCATTTTGAAACTTGAAAGACGAAAAAGTATCGTTTCGTCAAACCTTGAATGGAAAAATGTCGTTCTCCCAGTCAGAAATTGCCAAGTCAGTCTACCTCTGAAAATTCAACTCCTTAATTAAATTGCCTTAATTTCTGGGCACTGCCTTCTAATTATCATCGATACGTTTCAAACAAACAATTAATACGTTGTGCTAAGACTTCCAAGTCATGGATCGAACGCAAAATGCCATATATGCATGGATTTGCCTTTTTCTAATCGCTTATATTTTCTATGCCTGCGAAAATTGTTGAAATCACAGTCAAAACACGCAACGATGAAAGACTGAAAGTAGGAAAGTAACAAAAACAATGGACTTACAATGTTCCTTCATCCAAGGTTCAAATAAAATAATTTTATTGAGTTTCAGAAATCTATATGATACAATAATAAAAAATATCAACAGTTCATTATTTCTCGTATTATGTTTTCTACTACTATACTAGGGTAATAATAAACCTTATCATATCCTGGGCTAAACTGTTACAGATCCAAATATTTACAAATCAACTTCAAGTCCATTTACTAATTGGATTTACTGTAAAAGGGGCGTTACCTCTCACCCCTGCCTGCTCACCAGAAAATGGGATCCTGTGCAAAGTATGAACCAGCACATCCAACAAAATTAATCAAATGTTATTAGAATTTTTAGAATTTCTTTTATTTAAATCAATTCAATGGAAGAATGTAATTAATTAGCTTAATTAAATTTATTAAGAAATCATACATTATGTAAGTGCAGGATAATATTAAGCATATATCACTTTTTAATAATGTGTTTGTGTGTAACCAAATTCTATTGATTTTTCACTGAAAATCATGATACATTATATAATCTATCGGATATTTAAATTTCTACTCCAACTAGATATGATATATTGATAATAAAATGGGTAGATTAGGTTTGCTTGAAGATAAAACTGAATTTTTTTTTTTTTTTTTAATAATTCTTATCTTTAAATTTTAACTCATGTATATACATCAACGAAATTACAAATAATAAGAATATTACGTGACACTAATACATCAGTAACCATATCAATTAGGATCTCAGCTTTATATGCACCACATTACTTTCATTTTATTTAAGTATTATTATATTTTTAAGTTTCTCATCATAAATGGTTTTATATAACATAAATCAGAATCATGCTTATGGTTGACTAAACATAAGTTTCTCAGTCTAGAAAGGCATGGCAAAACAGAAGTCAATATAATTTGTGTCGTGGATGAGGCAAGAACTCAACTGTACTGGACAAGTCATTTTGTTATAATAGTATCCACACGCTATTATTTATATTCGCACCAACTTACATATACTTTAACTAATTCTCTAGAACCTTGAAACTATCGACCGACTAAGAGTTTCAGTGATCATCTCTATTAGTAATCAAAGAGGGATTCAAACTCAAAATCTATTAAGTAATACACTTAAGAGTCTCTATCGAATCATTCAACCGTTTAGAGATTGGTTTTGTTTACAAATTTACCTTACAACCAAAGATCGAGATAACTTTAGCTCCCACTTAAAAACACAAAAAAATAAAAAAAAATCATTTACATGTGCAGTCTTGGATTATGGATATGAGAAAATTTAGAGTATCACAAATATATGGTATAATGGGCCCTCGTATGGATTAAAGATATTGCTGCGTTGGGCGGCGAACAGGCTTGGAAATACTGTTTCTGAGGAAGCGTAAGTATTCGATTGCTTGCTGTGTTTGAATTCGAAGCAAGAACTTTGAAGAATTGTCTTGAACTCTTTATATATATACTAAACCGGTTTAATATATATATGAAAAACCGGTTTAGAAAACAGGTTTTCAGTTAACCGTTTCTAATTTTTCCCAAACCGATAACCGAACTAAAAATTTAATTTTTTAAATTTTTCGAACTATAATAGAACCGTTTTTTCGGTTAACCTGTTTTTCGATTCGATTAGCGGTTCGATTCGATTTTAGCATTTTTTTTTAACACCCCTAGTGTTTGAAGTATGAACTTTGAAGAATTGTCTTGTACTCTTTATGGACTTTGTTCTTATATGGGCTATTAAGTTAGACTCTTGTTAAAGGCCCAACCATAAATGGGCTTTTAATGTATTTCAGGAATATACAATTCAATTCTGATTTTATGTTGAAAGGCTTTTACCCATTCAACGATTAGGCCTTTAGCGAATGATAGCCCGTATCAGAATGAAGTCCAGAACCTTCTAGGAAGCCCGGGATTTTAATAAACAGCCCCAGAGGCTTCATTAACTGAACAAAAGAGACCGGGCGAAAGTACCAGAATTCTGTATTCTTCTTATAAAAACCCCAACACACTCCCATTTTACATCATCAAGACAATTCTTCGACGTTAAAGCTTTTTCTCAGCCATCAATTCAATCCTTTCGCATCCGTAGAAACAATATGTCGCTGATTCCAAGCTTCTTCGGCAACCAACGCAGCAGTGTCTTCGATCCCTTCTCTCTCGATGTTTGGGATCCATTCAAGGATTTTTCTTCACTCTCCACTCGTCTTCCTCAAGAAACCTCTGCCTTTGTCAACACCCGCATAGACTGGAGGGAAACCCCAGAGGCTCACGTGTTCAAGGCCGATCTCCCAGGGCTGAAGAAAGAGGAAGTGAAGGTGGAGATCGAAGATAACAGCGTGCTTCAAATTAGCGGAGAGAGGAATATAGAGAAGGAAGACAAGAACGATACGTGGCACCGTGTGGAACGTAGTAGTGGGAAGTTCTCCAGGAGGTTTAAGCTACCGGAGAATGTGAAGATGGATCAGATTAAGGCTTCTATGGAGAACGGAGTTCTGACTGTTACTGTTCCTAAAGTTGAGGTTAAGAAGCCTGACGTCAAGGCAATTGACATCTCTGGTTAAAAACCTAACTGTTCTGTTTAGAACAATGCTATGGATTGTCTTATCTATATAAAATTCGTGTGAATGCAATGGAGTATCGCTAATAAAATAATAATGTAATATCGTTGTTCTGAGTGTATAATTATATCATCAAAAAATTGTTCTTCAATTATTTTTATGGAATTACTGAAAATGAGCCCGTTATAACAAATACGGAGACCCAATTCACCATTGGTGGTTCCAGCTTCAACTTAAGCTGTGGTATGTATCAATGTATGCATTCATTCATTTAGTGTAGTGGGTATCAACAATATCAAGCAGACGACTAAACAAAGCAATTTAAATTGTGTTCACGGAAGAAAATTACAAATCCAAATGCCAGAGAATATGTAACAGAACTCTTTAGCTTCTCCCATTATAATCAACTACTCATGGGAAGAAGATCAGAGGTTTTATGAAGAGAAGTTGATTTACTAAAAATTCGACTGCCAAAAAGCAAAAACCCCAGCGCATCTATAGCCACAGCAATCAAGAACACATCTCTACTAAAAGACATGAGAGCCAGCATCACCAAGTAAGCAAGAGCAATCCTCAAAGCGTACAACAAAGTCTGAATCAAACCAGCGGCTACATGGTTGGAGCTGGATTTGATCAACTTGCAATTAGACAGCCACTCAATCAAGATACAGAGCACAAAAACAAATATCAAGGCCAATATATGCATTGAGAGAAGTAATACTTTGTACTACACAAAACTCTGATCCCTGGAGTTGGTTGAAAATGTTTACAATTTGTACTTTTAGCTGGAGAGAAAATATATATGATTGTCTCCGTCAGATGGACTGATGAATGTTGGCTAGGAAAAAGGAAGTTCATTTTAAAAACATGTAATTTGAAGATTGTTTCTTAAGTTAAATTATCTTCTTCGTTCTAATTCCAGGAATTAATTCGTTCCGGAAAGTCAGAAAGGAATGTAGATTAACGATGGATATATAATTTTAAGCATGTGTATGGGCCAAGGAGCTTGGCCGTTGTAATCTCAGGTTTTTACACTGACACCAATGTCATCGACAATGCTAGTCCGGCGAGGTGTCAACTTAATTGATAAAATTTGAGATGAGTCTAACTCTTCATCCAATAAGGTCTTATTGAATAGGAGAATTATCTATTTTTATAAACCAGTAGGTTTGAGCGTATTTAGTCGGTGTGAGACTTAAATACTTCCTCTCATGGTTAAGTCCATATGTTGGGTCATACCTGTTATTAGAGGTAGTTATTGGTTTTAACTTTTTATCTGCTAGTCAAACACTCAATTCAACTTAACTTGGGCTTTGATACCATGATAGAATTTGAGGCGGATACTCCTCATCCAATAAGGTTATGTTGAATGGAAGGATTACACCCTCTTATAAATCAGTAAACTTGAACGTGTCTAATTGATGTGAGACTTTAACAGTAATCATACAGTTCTCATTTTGTCAGAAATCCATTGAAATTTGACGAAATCGGAATTGAAAACTAGATTCTATGAAGTAACCAAGAATAGAAGGCGAAAAGAAATGAAAATGAAGAGAAACAGAAGCAGAAAATGTTCCCACCAGTGTGAAAAGAAATTTTGGGAAAATCAAATAACATAATTGATTTCTGATAAAAAAATGTGTTCATGTTTGGAAATATAATTCGTAATTTTTTAAGAAATTAAATCAATAAATAAAATTCTTAGGCGTGCTTAAGTAGTTATGATAGGATAAGATTAAGTTGAAATACAAGTCCTTATCCTTAATTAAGGAAGAGTGACGTAATTAGAGAAATAATAGTTAAATAATGATGGTAGTTTGTTTTATTATTTCAAATCTTATTCTCTATCCTATTCCCAAAATACTTGTTATTTAATTATTTGGAAAGTACTATTATATTTTTTTAATTGCTTTGAGACCCTTTAAGTTTATTAATTTAATTAAACACCTCTGAAAAAAAAGTTTAAAAATTAACAAAAATACCCTCACCCACCCATAGTTGCCAGATTTCGATAACCACCATCGGTGGTTGCTAGAATCTATCACAATGGCGTAGAAATGACTGAAACTGGTTGGTAACTCGCTGATCTGGAATTTTCTAATCAGATCCATAGTGGATCTGGCCGAAAAATGTCAGATCTGATGACCAAATCTTGGCCATCGTTGACCAACAACGATGGCCAAATTTGGCCTTTTACAGCCGTCGACGACCAAATCTGGTCATAGATCTGGCCTTTTCCAATCAGATCTGTGGTGGATCTGGATGAAAAAAGCCATATCGACACACAACCGGTCATATCCAATCAGTTTGCATCGTAACGCCATTTTCTGGCCACATTTCGACGGTGATGGCCGGAATTTGGCACTGTGGATAGGTGGGGGTGTTTTTGTCACTTTACAAAATTTTTATATATTAGAGTGTTTAGTTAAATTAACAAACCTAAGGGTTTTTTTTGTTAATTTTTAAATTTTACCTCGTAATACTCATCCTATTCAACTACCTAATATTATTCCTAAAATCATATCCAAAATAACAAAATAAATGCACCCGATAATATATTTTTTTAACCAAGGTGTTCGCTAGCTTATATATATCTCAATTAATCTTCGAGAGAAAAATAATTATAATATAAACCTTTTTGGTTTAGCTTTATTCTCTTCCATATCTCTTTTGAAAATTACTTATAGATATATTATTTGTCATCATCTAGCACACGTGTTCAAGGCCGATCTCCCAGGGCTGAAGAAAGAGGAAGTGAAGGTGGAGATCGAAGATAACAGCGTGCTTCAAATTAGCGGAGAGAGGATATAGAGAAGGAAGACAAGAACGATACGTGGCACCGTGTGGAACGTAGTAGTGGGAAGTTCTCCAGGAGGTTTAAGCTACCGGAGAATGTTAAGATGGATCAGATTAAGGCTTCTATGGAGAACGGAGTTCTGACTGTTACTGTTCCTAAAGTTGAGGTTAAGAAGCCTGACGTCAAGGCAATTGACATCTCTGGTTAAAAACCTAACTGTTCTGTTTAAGAACAATGCTATGGATTAAATTCGTGTGAATGCAATGGAGTATCGCTAATAAAATAATAATGTAATATCGTTGTTCTGAGTTTATAATTATATCATCAAAAAATTGTTCTTCAATTATTTTGATGGAATTACTGAAAATGAGCCTGTTATAACAAATACGCAGACCCAATTCACTATTGGTGGTTCCAGCTTCAACTTAAGCTGTGGTATGTATGCATTCAGTCATTTAATGTAGCGGGTATCAACAACATTAAGCAGACTACTAAATGAAGCAATTTAATTTGTGTTTACGGAAGAAAGTTACCAATCCAAATGCTAGAGAGTATGTAACAGAACTCTTTAGCTTCTCCCATTATAATCAACTACTCATGGGAAGAAGATCAAAGGTTTTAGGAAGAGCAGTTAGATTTACTAAAAATTCGACTGTCGAAAAGCAAAATCCCCAGCGCATCTACAGCTACAGCAATCAAGAATACACCTCCATTAAATGACATAAGAGCCAGCATCACGAACTAAGCAAGAGCAATCCTCAAAGCGTACAACAAAGTCTGAATCAAACCAGCGGCTACATGGTTGAAGCTGGATTTGATCAACTTGCAATGAGACAGCCACTCAATCAAGATGCAGAGCACAAAAACAAATATCAAGGCCAATAGATACATGCCGGAGCTTGTTCCAGGCCGACCTGAGAAGATAATTTCAGCGATCTTACCCCAAAAGAAAGTCATGTGCGACATCATGCTGTGGCTCATGGATGATGATGTTGGTGTTGCCATGGCCAGCTGTGTCTGTCTCAGCTGCAGCCTCGTGGCTATAGCTTCCTGTAATAGAGATGTTCGTTTCCTATCTTTCGTTTGTGGTGCTTATTATCAGCCCTTGTATTAACTTTCCTTTTAAAGGTGATTGATTGTTACGTTGTTAAATATAAGATTAATAGTACAGTGAGAGAAGTAATACTTTGTACAACACAAAACTCTAATCCCTGGAGTTGGTTGAAAATATGCACAATTTGTAATTCTAGCTGGAGAGAAAATCTGTATATGATTGTCTCCGTCAGATGGACTGATAAATTTTGGCTAGGAAAAAGAAGTTCATTTTAAAAACATGTAATTTGAAGATGGTTTCTTAAGTTAAATTATCTTCTTCGTTCTCATTCTGGGAATTAATTGGCTCCGGAAAGTCAGAAAGGAATGTAGATTAACGATGGATATATAATTTTAAGCATGTGTATGGGCCAAGGAGCTTGGCCGGTGTAATCTCAGGTTTTTACACTGACACCAATGTCAGCGACAATGCTAGCCCGTTGAGCTGTTGACTTAATTGATAGAATTTAAGATGAGTTTGATTTTTCATTCAATAAGGTCTTGTTGAATATGATGCTTATTCTTTTTTATAAACCTATCTTGTCAGTGTGAGATTTTAACACTTTAAAGGTAGTTGTTGGTTTTAACTTTTCACCCATTGGTCAAGTATTTAACTTAATTAAACTTAGACTTTGATATCATGATAGAATTTGAGGTGGATATGATTCTTTACTCAATAAGACTTTGTTTAATAGGAGGATTACCTATTTTTATAAATCAGTAGGTTTGAGTGTGTTTAGTTAGTAATTATACGGTTCTTATTTTGTCAGAAATCCACTTAAATTTGACGAAATCGGAATTGAAAACTGGATTCTACGAAGTAAACAAGAATAGAAGGCAAAAAGAAATGAAAATGAGGAGAAACAGAAGCAGAAAATGTTCCCACAAGTGCGAAAAGAAATTTTGGGAAAATCAAATAACATAATTGACTTCTGATAAGAAAAAGGGTTCATTTTTGGAAATATAATTCGTAATTTTTTAAGAAGTTAAATCAATAAATAAACTTCTTAGGCGTACTTAAGTAGTTATGATAGGATAAGATTTAGTTGAAATACAAGCACTTATCCTTATCCTTAATTAAGGAAGAGTGACGTAATTAGAGAAATAATAGTAAAATAATGATAATATATATTTTTTTTAATCAAGGAGTTCGCTAGCTTATATATATTTTAATTAATCTTCGGAAAGAAAATAATTATAATATAAACATTTTTGGTTTAGCTTTATTCTCTTCCATATCTCTTTTGAAAATTACTTATAGATATATTATTTGTCATCATCTGGTAAAGTATTTCAGCAATAAACAGTCAAGTTACATATATTATCTTTAAATAATAATACTACATGTATAGACATTTCATATAATTTTTAATGTGATTGGAGGATTTAAATTTAGAGATAATTTAAAAAATCAGAGTAAATGATATGTGAATAGTGGGGAGTATTACTCATCTTTAAACAATTGGATAATTTTATTATTTCTAGACAAAACATAAAAATAAAATAAAATAAAATTCCTCAATCTAGAGAAAACTTATCAACAAGAACAAGCCATTGGAGGTAGATCTGAGGTTTTCACAGAATATGGGATTTCTGTCTTCCTGAAAACCCTACTGCCAAACACCAAAAAACCAAAAGAATGGCCAGCAATGGACGCAAGAAAAATACCACCGTTAAAAGACATGACAGCAAGCATCGCCATATAGGCAACACCAACCCTAATGGCGTGCATAAAAGTTTGAATGAGACCCGCAGCAACGTTGCTTGCACCCGGTTTGATAATCCGGCTATGAGAGATCCACTCCACTAGGGCCGACATCACAAACACAAATATCAGGGCCACCACGTACATGCCGGTATTGTTTTTACCAGGCCAACCATCGAAGAGGACCTCGGTGTTCTTTCCCCAGAAAAATGTCATGTGCATCATCATCTTGTGGCGGTGAATCATCCCGGTACTGTTCATCGTTGCTGGTGCGGCCGCCATTCCATTGCCATGGCCACTCATATCATTCATGGTGAATAAAAAACAGATACAAAAGACACGGGTTAGAGTGGGGTTTTGGAGGGATTAATTTGGTATTTGGGAAGACGATAAGTATGTGAGGTTGGCTTGTACTATATATAGTGATTGATTGTACCAAATCCAAATGGTTTATACTTGTAGTACACTAATACGTATTTTTGTGGAGTACAAAAATCTTCATTTTAGATTTTTAGTATTACTAATTCATTCACGATCCCAATTGAGTAATGTTACAGAATTAAACTACAGGATGGGCGAGACCAATAAATTTCAAATCCAAATGGCTCAAAAGCTCATTCTAGAGTTAATGTACAGGCATTGATGAAGAAGATAAAATGCCTGCTCCAATATATTAAATTTTTGTCTGCAATTTATAGTAAATAATGCTGGCCATCCTTTATATACTTGTAAATATCCATTGATCTTTCAATTATCTTCCATATATAGCATATATGCATGGATGAGTTGCACTGACCAAAAGTGATCAGAATGGTTAATGGTAACAGAAATCTTTACTAGAATCATATCAGAATTTTGTTTAGAGTCATATTATTATTAGGAGTGAAAATAGGACAGTAGAAATGTGTGAGGAAGCTTAGCTTATTCATTTTTGTTATTCTTTGATTAAGCTCTGATTTTCTATTGAAACTTCATCGCAAGAATTATACGTATAATTGGCATTCTGAGATCTTGCCTACAGTCCGTGCACATAATTTGGGGTTAATTAGTTTAGCTAGCTTAAAATTAGGAGGTAAAATAGGAGATCAAAAGTGTGCGAGGAAGCTTACTTCTTGTGTTGTGTATAAACAATGATCGATGCAGCGTAATGTTAATTTATTTATTATTCCAAATACGGCATAAGAGAATGATTTGATTCATTGATTAGCCGTCCTTGGTGTTTTAATATTCAGGTTCTTACCAGGGTTCATGCTTGTCCTTCGATAAAAGGCATGGTTCTTGCCGTTGCAGAGAAAGAGCTTCATATGGGAAAACTGGCATATTCAAATTCAATCAATAAATTAATATCTGATGCATTGCAAGCCTCATCCAAAAGCTTTTGCTCGTCAATTGGTTATTTATTAGTGACTTTATAGATCTCATCCTGGAAGTTCAATGTTAGTATATAATTTTTTTTTTTTTTACTGATGGTGTCTAGGTCAGTTTTCATACAACTCAACCTAAGATCCTGAAGTTAATGGCCGTCCCTATTAACAACCGAGGAAAACCGGACTCATAATCTCTTAAGTAATATACCCAAAAGTCTCTACTTGACCACTCAACCACCCGTTGGTTGGTTGTCATGTTTTCATTTTATAGATCTCATATACGGCTATTTTGCATATTAACATAAAAGAATATTTTTAAATGAAATTACCTAATTACTATTAATATTTCACAAACATTAATGGCGAAGCCTAAATCCATAAACTTGTTTTGGAAATCTTGGTGCACCTACTTCGGCAACTGCCCTGCAACTACCAATTAATAGTTTGTTGTAAGTGTACTGACTTGATTGAAGACTTTTCTGGGTCAAGTTTTAGAAGCAAGCATTAAACGGAAACTCTATCAGCCATGGCTGGAACTTAAACCTTGGTGCGTAGTACGGACAAGAAGAAGTACATAAAAATGGAAGTTATATGCATAACCAAGAATACAGATACTGGATTATTTTATGTTCTTACAACTGGTTCACAGTAATTTAAGGCATCAAACTGGAAGCTATCAACAATCACACCATTTCATTTTTAATTTGTACAGAAAAGTAAGAACAGTACAAAGAAAAACAAATAAAGCCCAGAAGAAAACTGCACATCCAAATTCCAGAGAACCAGTGATGTGATATAAAACTTGACTGTATTAATTAATTTCTTCCATCATCAGCAAGGAGGAAGATCAGAGGTTTTAGAAGGAGGAGTTGATTTTTTGAATAATCGACTGCCAAAAAGCAAAAAACCCAAAGTATGTCCAACCACAGCAATCAAGAACACGCCTCCGTTAAAAGACATGACCGCCAGCATCACCAAGTAAGCAAGACCAACCCTCATAGTGTGCAAGGAAGTCTGAATAAAACCGGCGACCACATGGTTGGATTCAGGTTTGATCAATCTGCAATGAGAGAGCCACTCAACAAGGACAGCCAGAACGAAAACAAAGATCAAGGCTAACGCATACATCCCAGAGCTTGTTCCAGGCCAACCTGAGAAGAGAATCTGAGAGTTTTTGCCCCAGAAGAAGGTCATGTGCATCGTCATTATCATCCCAGTGTTGTTGTTCATGTTCATGGATGACGGTGGTGATGCCATCCCATGATCCATGCCATCCATGGCTAGGTCTCTCTCTCAGCTGCAGCTTGAAATTGGTTGGAATTTGGATTCTTTCTAATTTCTATCCTCTTATTGTGGTGATGGTTGTGCATTTAAAGGAGATTTTACGTTTTGTTTAATACAAGACCGGTCGTGTACTGGAAGAGGTAATATTTTGTACTACACAAAAGCCAAAAGGGGTTATGTACAACACTCTCACAGTCAGCACAAATCCAATAGGGAAAATTGGGCTCGCCATACAATTACTTGGGTAAATTTTTAAGTCAATGCTAGAGTCGCCCTTCTGTTTTTGTGCAAATATTTATATTAAAATCCAGTTGTTTCAACAGACTCCAAAAAGCAGGACAAGGATGATGGCACTACTACCATCAGATTTAAGTCTCCAACAGCTCCCACTGCTTCACCCTTAAGTTTCTGTCAGACTCAATTCATGATTACACTTGTTTCCCCAGAGAAGCTGGACTGCCCATTCATTCATTCATTCATTCAGAACCTTTGATACTCATAGATCCAATTACAGGTCATAACATTAATTTATATTATCACGTAAACTAATTATATTATGTTAAAAATGTATTATCCCAATATATTGATTTATGGTATGAACAATTTGCTACTTCAGACGATTTATAATCTTTCTCCTTGTTAAAATAGATGTCCATGTTGAAAGGTTTTGAATCTTTTGATAATATGAATCCAGTGCATGCATGGATCTTATGATAATATGAACAATGAAAAATCAAAGCTCTCTGTTCTCTGTTCTCGATTTTTTTGCAATTGAATCCTCCAGAACCACAAGAATTCTTACTTAGAATGGGATTCCAACGCAGCATCTTTTGAGATTTTGAGAAGAGTTGCTCTTTGGAGAGCACAGTACAATAAAAGTCAATGGCCTGAGATGCTGTGGTTTACCCTATGATTGATGTCAACGATTCGAATTTGTTTATCTCTAACTTGTGAACTTAGCTGATACGAAGCTATATGAATACGTTAGCAGCCAATTTTTCTGACTCCATAAATTTGTATTAAAAAAAAAAAAAAGAAGGTCAAAGCATATAATATAAGTATAAACAATGTTGGGAATAATTCTCCATTGATATTTGCTCTGGTTTGTCTTGACATCATATCCTGCATCCATAATAAGAATACATAGGGCCTATTTTTGTATGTTTTATCTGTTTTGGGCCGATATCTGGACTGTTATGGGTCATTTTATTTTTAGTGTCAGTGAGATGAAAGCCCAATTAAAATAGTTTAACACGGCGTATTAATCGGCAAAAGAAAAGGCAAATATTTATTATTATGTAATTTACATAGACAATAATCACATGCAAACCAACGGAGGAAGATCAGACAAATCCTCACAATTTTCAACATTAAATTTCCTGGATACTTGACTAGCAAAAATCAAGAATCCAACCGAATATCCAGCAACAGCAGCTATCAAGATACCAGTATCGAAGGACATTACAGCAAGCATTAGCAAGTAAGCAAGTAAAATCCTGATGGCAAACATGAAGGTCTGTAAAAGCCCCGCAATGACATCGTTACTGGTGATGGACTTGATCAATCGAGCATGTGAGAGCCACTCTACCAGCAGTGAGATTGAAAACACAGAAATTAAAGCCAATATGTAGGATACGTTGAAGCTTTGGCTTTGCCAATCTAAGAAAGAATCGAGGAATGATATCATTTTTTTTGTTGTTGTTTCTCTTTGCCTCTTATCTTTCTTCTCTCCGAAAGTTAAGCTAGCTAGAATGGAAAACGAAGCAATAGTTATAGGAGAAAAGACATAATTTCTGGGGATAGTACAAGTTTGCACTTGTATTTATATGTACTACATGCCTCTTCAGTTGAGAATTGTAATGGTAGTTCAAGATCCAGTGGGCAGGTATGCATTGGTGAACTGTTAATTCTTATAATACTTAGTACATGGATTGAATTTTTCAACCAAAAAGGAAAGGACAGATCATTTGAACATTTATCTTCCATTACACTCAACTCCACTATGGGAAAGATGGTACTTACATTGTGTTTCGATAGGAGGATTGTACGGCAAGGTAAATTTCAATGTACTACATGATCACAATCTGTAGTACGAAGTCACAATCATTTTTGGTCGTTGTTTGTTAGCAGCATGCATTTGACTCTTCATCAACCATGAATATTGGCAATTGGTCACCTGTAACACATAAAAAATAGGTGCAGTACAATTATGAGATTGATGAAGAAATAGCAGCAATCCTTTCAAAGTGACAGCGAAAGCGAGGGCTCCGCGAAACGCTTTTCCACGACAACCTTCCCCGACGGGGCGGGGATGGGGAATCCCTTAGAGCGGGGATGAGAAGTGCAGGAATGGGAAACCCGCCCAGCCCCGCACCCATCCTACAGTATTTACCAAACGACCATGTTCTTAATTCAAATGAAGATGAATTGTAGTGGGAAAAAACATGTTTGCATCCTATCATCTTCTTTGTGGTAACTGACTTAGTCAAGGGATAATATATGATAAAGAAAAAGAAAATTTGTATACGCGAGTGAGATAATTCTGCTTTCTAATTTCCACGTGAAATGGTCACTTTAAAATACAAGTCTGATATCACTTTGAAACGGAAAAGATACACCTTATAAATTGGTTTGCCTATCTTTAAGGCAATAATACAATATAAAGTGCATATCTCAGAAACTTTGATTTGTCAACATTCAACCTATTCATGAAAGTAACAGAACTGCATATAGTTTGATTTACTTGGTGCAGGTTGATACTAAAGTCAAATTCATGCCTCTGCTGAAACTTCTTAATAAACAAATAGTGAAGAAAAAAATAACTAACCCCAGAAGCAACGTAGCTTGTCCTATGAAATTTATATAGCATTGATTCCCATTGGCCATTGTAGTCATATCTATTTTTGCATATTAGTTTACCCACTGCAACAAAACCAAGCCTAAACAACAGAAGCTTCATTATCATAGAAGAAAAACAATGGAGAAACACAGAGAACAAAAAGGTAGCCGCTTGGTGTTTGTGTTGTACCCATTTCAAGGCCACATCAACCCCATGCTTCAGCTAGCAACTATCATGTACTCAAAAGGCTTCTCAATCACCATTGTTCATCCACAATTTAACTCTCCTGACCCATCTAAACACCCCCAATTCACCTTCACACCTATCTCAGATGACTTGTCCCAAGGCAAAGTCTCTCCTGCTGATTTTTCTGGTGCCATTTCAGCTCTTAACAAAAATTGTGAAGAACCGCTTAAAGAATGCATACAAAAGATGTTGAAAGCAGAGGATACACGCGATAGTATCTCGTGTATCATTTATGATGGGCTCATGTACTTTGCTCAAAGTGTTGCTGATCATCTGAAGCTACCAGGAATGAGTTTACGTACAAGCGCTGCTGCCACAGTTTTAGCTTTTGCCGTGTTTCGTCGTCGCGATGAGCAAGGCTATATCTCCTTCCTAGGTATGTGTTAATATGCCGATTTAGTTATTCCACCTAAGCTGATTCATATAAAATCAGTTCAATTATGTCCTAAATTTAGAGCATGTGCAAACCTCATTTTCGTTACTGTGTATGTGCCAATTACGAAACAGATTTAATGTCAAAAGACCAAGTGACCGAGCTCCAGCCCCTCCGGCTTAAGGACCTACCCATATTAAGGAATCAGGACGTTGCTGATTTGGTGCTGGAATTGAGAGCCAATCTGAGCGATTCAGTGAAAAAGTCTTCAGCTTTAATCGTGAATACAATGGATTTTCTTGAACAGAATGCACTCAAACAAATTCAAGGACTTTTCCCTACTCCAATTTTCACCGTAGGCCCTTTTCACAAATTGGCTCCAATCATTTTCAGTTCATTACTGAAGGAAGATACTAATTGCATTTCCTGGCTAGACAGACAAGCTCCAAAGTCTGTCATCTATGTAAGCTTTGGGAGCCTTGCTAGCATAGATGAGAAGGAGCTACTTGAGACAGCTTGGGGGCTAGCCAACAGTGATCAACCCTTCTTGTGGGTGGTTAGGCCTGGTTTGGTTCGTGGCTCGAAATGTGCGGAACTATTGCCAAAGAGTTTTGAAGAAAGAGTTGAAGAGCGGGGTTGCATAGTGGAATGGGCGCCACAATTGGAAGTGCTAGCACATGGTGCTGTGGGAGGGTTTTGGAGCCATTGTGGTTGGAATTCTACTCTCGAAAGCATTTGCGAAGGAGTTCCAATGCTGTGTAGGCCATTTTTTGGTGATCAGAACTTGAACGTGAGGTATGTGTGTGATGTGTGGAAAGTAGGCCTTGAATTGGAGAATGAGTTGGAGAGGGGGAATATAGAGAAAGCTGTAAGAACACTCATGGTGAACACAGAAGGAGAGGAGATGAGGAAGAGGGCTATGCATTTGAAAGAGAAAGTAAACCTCTCTGTGAGGGAAGGTGGTTCTTGCTACAATTCAATGAATGAATTAGCAGATCAAATGCTGTCACTTAGATCTGAGTAGAGCTGTACTAGTAACATATTGAAATACCCATATAATCTAGGATCGATTGTTGTCTAATATTTTAATGATATTGACTGTTTGTATCAATTTTAGCTCAACTGAATCTTGAAGATCTTAATTAATTAATATGAAAAAAACAGGTAGCAACAAACAACTGCTCCTCCTCCTGCTGGTCTACAACCTGAGCCTCATTCTCATGTTGGTTGCATTTGTTTTTGCAAATTTTTTTTATATGGCCAATCTGGTTGCACTTCTGGCACCTCACATCAGGCCTCCTCCAACACTTATATTGAGGATGATTGGTTCTGCCACAATGCTGACATGGAAGATGTTTTCCTCCATTGCTATTTGTTCCAGCATCTCCTTTGTTGGCATTGTATTTTCTTCCATTCTTTTTCTTTNATTTAGTTATTCCACCTAAGCTGATTCATATAAAATCAGTTCAATTATGTCCTAAATTTAGAGCATGTGCAAACCTCATTTTCGTTACTGTGTATAAAATCAGTTCATATAAACTTTCTGCCACAATGCTGACATGGAAGATGTTTTCCTCCATTGCTATTTGTTCCAGCATCTCCTTTGTTGGCATTGTATTTTCTTCCATTCTTTTTCTTTCCTTTGCTATCATCTTGAATCTGCAACTTAGCTTGTAAAGCACCTTCCACATATCCCTCTTCTCTGATCAACCTCCTTTGATCTTGTGCCTGCAATGCATTCAATAATTCTGCCAAGGAAATACTTGACAGATCTTTAGACTCTTCTAGAGCAGATATTTTGGATTCAAACCTTTCCGGAAGAGCCACCAAAATCTTTTCTACGATTCTGCTATCAAACATTTCTTCACCAAGAATTCCTACTTTGTTAACAATGCTGAGAAGTCTGTCAGAGTACTCCTTGATTGTCTCTTATTCTTTCATTCTCTGCATCTCAAATTCCCTCCTCAGATTCAGCACCTGCATGGTCCTTTCATTCCCTTTATATTCTTCTTTGAAGAAGTCCCATATATCTTTTGCTGACTCTAACTTGATAATTCTGGTGAATAATGCATCTGACACAGCAGCATGTAAGCAAGCATTCGCCTTGTACTTCCTTGTCTTCCTCTCCTTGTGATTCCTCAACTGAGCCATTGTAGGATTGTTTGGCAATGGTGCAATATCGTAGTCTTCTTCCACTGCCTCCCATAGATCATGAGCTTGCAGATGAGTTGTCATCTTGACAGCCCAAGTCTCATAATTCTCTCCAGAAAAGAGAGGTGGTGCTGTTGAAGAATAAGCTTATGCGGCCATGATGAGTTGTTTTGGTTTGTGTTTAAGGTCAACTCACAGGACAAAATCTCATAGATCCCTTAAGAAATCAGCTCTGATACCAATATGCAGGGGCGGATTCAACCCATTTTTGGCCCACCCTCAATTTTTTTTTTTATTACTAATATATATAATTTTTGGATTTTGGCCCACCCTTACAAAAAAAATTAATGGACAAAAATATTAATATGTAATTAACTTTTATTTTGGCTTACCCTAAAAAAAATTCTGGATCCGCTACTGTCAGTATGTTGTTGTTTTATACAAGAGCAATGGCAGAATGATAGCAAAAATAGGAAGAAAATAGACTGCTATTAGTCTACAATTTCATTGAATGAAAATTGCAATTTATACAAGTAAATGCAACAGAAAAACATGAAAAAAGCCTAAACAAATGCTGCACGACATGAAGAGCAGCTGATAAACTTAATGCCTAATTTCTAGCAACAGCTAGTTTGACAACTTCAAAACTTGACTTATTGCAGCAACTAAAACACCTATTCTCCAGCTGCCACCTCATCAATCTATTCAGCACTCCCAAGTCAGCAACACTTCTGCAGCATCTTGAGACACATATTCAACAAGGTTAAAGGATCAACCTTTTTCGAAATTCGGGTCTTTAGAATCTCTGTCACAAGTGGTGAAAGAGTTGCGCAATACTAGAAAGTCTTCAGCTATCATCTATAACACAATAGACTTCCTTGAGCAATCATCACTGGCGAGGACCCTACAACAATGCCACCTTCCACTCTTCTCAATTGGCCCTCTGCACAAGTTTGCTCCAGCCTTATCAAGTATCTTGTTCAACGAAGATATCAGCTGCATTAGATGGCTTGACAAGCAAACTAATGATAACACAATAATATATGTAAGCTTGGGGAGCATAACACAAATTGATGAGAATAAGCTAGCTGAAATGACGTGGGGCCTAGCCAACAGCAATGCGTGGTTCAGAATGGATTGAGTCATTGCCTGAAGGTTTTGAAGAAGTTATCGGACAAAGAGGGTACATTGTGAAATGGGCACCCCAGAAGCAAGTGTTGGCCCATGCCAAGGTGGGATGGTTTTGGAGCCACTGTGGATGGAACTCAACAATGGAAAGTATAAGTGAAGGTGTTCCAATCATCTGTAGACCAAACTCTGGAGACCAGAGGGTGAATGGAAGATATATAAGTAATGTGTGGAGAGTGGGATTGGAAATAAAAATGGAGAATGAGTTGAATAGAAGGGAAGTAGAGAGAGCAGTGAGAAGACTAATGGTTGATAAAGAAGGATTGGAGATTAGGCAGAATGCCAAGGAATTGAAGGAGAAGATTCAACTTTGCGTTGTGGCTCTTCTTACAATTCCTTGAATAAGTTAGTGAAATTCATCAAGTCACTTTGATTGTATTTGATTGCTTATTTTAGTTATTGAAGTTCATCAATTTACAAGACATTGTCATCTTGTTTTAAACCAAGGACGGTCATGTCAATTTGTTTAGAATAAATAAAATATTCTAAACAAAGGACCCATTTGAGGTTTGGCCCTTTAATGAAAGCTCAACTCTATAGCCCATTTCAGAAGAAAGTCCAGAACTTTCTAGCAAGCCCGGAACTTCTTAAGAACTTCGCGAATTTACCAGAAAGCCCCAGAGGCTTCGTTAACTAAACAGAAGAGATTGCGTGCGAAAGTACCAGAATTCTCCATTCTTCTTATAAAAACCCAAACACACTCCCGTTTTAGACCATCAAAGACAATTCTTCAAAGTCAGCAGCGATTAATCGAATACTCTAGCATTCTTAGAAACAATATGGCATTGATTCCAAGCTTCTTCGGCAACCAACGCAGCGGTATCTTCGATCCCTTCTCTCTGGATGTTTGGAATCCATTTAAGGACTTTTCTTCACTCTCCACTCGTTTCCCTCAAGAAACCTCTGCTATTGTCAACACGCGCATAGACTGGAGGGAAACCCCGGAGGCTCACGTGTTCAAGGCCGATCTTCCTGGGCTCAAGAAAGAAGAAGTGAAGGTGGAGATCGAAGATGACAGGGTGCTTCAAATTAGCGGAGAGAGGAATGTAGAGAAGGAAGACAAGAACGAGACGTGGCATCGTGTGGAACGTAATAGTGGGAAGTTCTCCAGGAGGTTTCAGCTACCGGAGAATGTGAATATGGATCAAATTAAGGCTTCTATGGAGGACGGAGTCCTTACTGTTACTGTTCCCAAGGTTGAGGTTAAGAAACCTGACGTCAAGGCCATTGAAATCTCTGGTTAAAACAGTGAATGTACTCTCTAAGAACAACGTTGTGGATTGTCTACATGAAATTCATGTAAACGCAATGGAGTTTTGCTAAGAATTAACAATGTAACACGTTGTCATATTGAAATATAATACTGGATTTTTAGTAATTGTAATAAATAATGTTGTGGCAATTTTCTTCTTAATTAATTTATATTACTATTGATTTTTGGAAATAAAACTTTAGTCCCAATGGTTTAGTATAAGCACCCAAAAGGAGTCACAAAGTAACACTTGGGTCCATATATATTAAATGCCTAAACCACATAAGGGTACTTCACTATTTCATTTTGTTCATTAAGAAATAAACACAGTGAGTTATTATAATCTACACAAGCAGACCAATCTAAACATAAACCAAGTCCCAAGTGCCCATCCAACTTAGAATAACCAGCCAAATGGAACGGTTTTGAAACTCTGGAGACCAGAGGGGGAATACTAGACATATATGTCGTGTGGAGAGTAGGGTTAGAATTGGACAGTGAGTTGAATAAGGGAAGTAGAGAGAACAGAGCAGTGAGAAGACCAATGGTTGATGAAGTAATTAGTAAGATTTATCAAGTCATTTTACTTATATATAATTGCGTATATTAGTTAATGAAGTTCATGAACTTAAAGATATTGTCATATTGTTTCAAAACAAGGGAGGTAAAGGTAATGTCATTGTTTTTAGGGGGCATTTGGTTGGGGGTTATGTGGAATTACGAGGGTTAAATTATCTTATATTATTTTATTACTATGTTTGGTTGTTAAGTAATATAAGATATCAGTAATCTTCAAATATTAATAATGGTTATTGTTGATAATATTGAAGATAATTTGATTACCTTCATTTTCTTAGGTGTAAGATTACTTGGGTAATCTTTTTTTTGTTACAGTTTATCCTTTATTAATAAATTTTTTGGATAATAATGCCTTTATTTTTAAATTTATTTACATGAGTCTTACTTATACTATTTCACCCCAATTAATGACCAATCAGATCTGCTCCCGATATGGCCTTTTCAGTCATCAATATGGCCAGAAACAACCATATGAGGGCCTCCTGATCACGGTGGGCTGCTCACGGCGAATTCTGGCGGTGGTTTGCGGTGGCGGCAGGCAGCAGTAGGGTGGTGGGGGTGAGTTTGTTATAAATTAAAGTTTTATATGAGTGGGGGTGTTTTAGCTAAATTTAAAATATTGGGGGTTAAAAAAATAAAAAAAATAATATTATATTAATATTTAAAAAGAGGGCAATTTAGTAATTTAAATAACATACCCACCAATTTATTCCTCCTAACCAAACATATTAATATAATATACCTATCAATTTATTCCAATTAACCCATACATATTTTCTTAAAGATTCCCAGTAATCTTCAAGGAAATATAAGATTTCAGTAATTTAACTTTTCTAGTAATCCAATATTCCTTGAACCAAATGCACCCTTAGAATAATAAAAGATTACCCACCATGTTTAAAGTTATTTATACGAAAGTTAATCATATAGACCTCCCCTACGCTTTCAATCTTTCACAGGTGGATATAAAAGATTAATAGATTAACATAAACACCTCACTCTTTTAACTTTCTTTAGGGCTCTGTTATGGTTACTGTCATTACACTCCCTTCAACATAAACAATTGACAAATTGACCCCATACTTAGCCACTTGCACCTCTTATTATCAAGTTTTGATGTTAAATTATTTGAGAGAAGGGCAAAAAGTTGAAAATTAAAATATGCTGCAAAGTAAAAATTAAAATTTACTTTTTAAAATATATATTTCTATATTTTGAAAATTCAATAATAATTTTTTTAAAGAAAAAAAATCATATGTTCTGTGCGATCTAAGAATGGTGGTTTAGGAGATCTAATCGTCCTACAAAGTAAATTCTTTTAAAAATAATATTAAATCTTAAGTATATTTTTTTCAAAATATCAAAAAAAAATTCTAAATATTTTTTATTATTTTGAAATATTTAATATATGATTTGGTATTTTAACATAAAATGCCGATTTTACCCTTCCCTCGATGAACTTTTAACACCAAAATGGATGATAAAAGGTGTAAGTGGCCATTTATGGGGGGTAAATGTCAATCTTTTATGTTAGAGGAGGTGTAAAAACAATCTTAACGGTAAAAGGAGTGGGGTGATTGTGTTAACCTAATGATATTTTCTATCAACGTGCGAACCTCATGAGCAGTTTAGTAATCAACTCTATATAACAAAAGAGCGCAGGGAAGTGATTTTTAGCCTTAATGTAATTGATCAATAGCCCCTATTAGACATAAATATGTTTTTCTTTTTACACCCCATTTTTCTAATTTTTAGTTCATCTAGATTAATAGATTTAGATCATTTCCTTATATTATTTTCTAAATTTTTGAAGGATCCATTGACATATGGCAATTATAATTTTAGATGATAAATATCTATGCATTTATTTTTATTTTTTCTCGTAAGTCTTCTAAACCCAAGATTTTGTCTTCATAATTACTAAATAGGTTTTCTATATTTTCTATACTTCTTCTCTCAACCAACATTTGTTCAGTAAAAAATTATATATTCCTAAAGAAAAAAGAAAGACTAGAATATAAAAAAAAAAAAAAAAAAATCATATTTGGAATAAACTGAAATATTTTTAAGTTTAATAGAGAAGTGAAAAGTGATTATTTTTTGTCTTTTTAAAGCAATTTAAAGAATAAACTATGAGTTTTAAAACTTCCGAAAAATAATAAATAAAAGGAAAATATAAAATAAAAGGCTTTGACCCATTTGAGGTTCGGCTCTTTAATGAAAGCTTAACTTGATAGCCCATTTCAGAAGAAAGTCCAGAACTTTCTAGCAAGCCGGGAACTTAAGAGCTTCTCGAATTTACCAGAAAGCCCCAGAGGCTTCGTTAACTAAACAGAAGAGATTGCGCGCGAAAGTACCAGAATTTTCCATGTTTTTGTTAAAAACCCCAACACACTCCCGTTCAAGCATCATAGTCAGTAGCAATCAATCGAATACTCTAGCATTCTAAGAAACAATATGGCGCTGATTCCAAACTTCTTCGGCAACCAACGCAGCAGTGTCTTCGATCCCTTCTCTCTGGATGTTTGGGATCCATTTAAGGGCTTTTCTTCACTCTCCACTCGTTTCCCTGAAGAAACCTCTGCTATTGTCAACACCCGGATAGACTGGAGGGAAACCCCGGATGCTCACGTGTTCAAGGCCGATCTTCCAGGGCTCAAGAAAGAAGAAGTGAAGGTGGAGATCGAAGATGACAGGGTGCTTCAAATTAGCGGAGCAAGGAATATAGAGAAGGAAGACAAGAACGAGACGTGGCATCGTGTGGAACGTAGTAGTGGGAAGTTCTCCAGGAGGTTTCAGCTACCGGAGAATGTTAAGATGGATCAAATTAAGGCTTCTATGGAGAACGGAGTCCTTACTGTTACTGTTCCCAAGGTTGAGGTTAAGAAACCTGATGTCAAGGCCATTGAAATCTCCGGTTAAAACACTGAATGTTCTGTTTAAGAACAATGTTGTGGATTGTCTATATGAAATTCATGTAAACGCAATGGACTTTTGCTAATAAATAATAATGTATGTTAATTTTTTTTTTTTTTTTCCTTTTCTGGTTTTAATTGTTCTTCTGGGAAAGCAAATACAATAATTTTTAAAAAAGGAGAAACAGTGAGGTCCACCAGTACCTATCTTTTGTCATCTTGTTTGGTACTACTTAGATGCGATTTAAGTCTCCAGCAGTCCTTAGAGCTCCGCCTCTGAGCTTCTGTCAAACCCAATTTATGATCATTCCGGTCTCAGAAAGAAAACCTGGACTAGCCATCTATTCATTCAAATCTTCTAGAGTTTTTATGTATCACTTGTATGATCCAGTTAATTAAATTAATGTAAGTTACAAGAAGAGGGGAACACTCGACAATTAATTACACGATCTGTCACGGCTTAGAATCAATATAGCAAAGTTCACTTTAAAAAATAATTCAAAAATATTGTGAGAATTTCTTATAATATAATTTTTGAATTATGATTTAATTAAACAAATTAAGATTTTAAAATATGGATTAATAAAATATTTAAATATATACCTGTTTGATGAAACATGATATATCACAGCAAACATTTGGTCTTTAACTCCTTAATCCATCATTTACTCTGGCAAGCTATAAGGGGTGGTTTGATCTAATATTTTTCTAAAGGAATATCATGATTTCTCTACAATCTCGCCATATTTCTTATATCAAGATCCTACAAATATTTCGGGCTTATTGTAATCATAAATTATAGCTTAATATACTTTGTTATTAAATAATGTGGGTTGACAGTAGAAGTGTGGGCTTTTGGGTTTACTGGTCCGTAATGAGAGAGACAAGTAAAACATTATGTATTGGCTAAGTCCCTTTTTCAAAACTAATTAATGTATGTTTTACCCATTTGAAAGTTGTCATTTAGAGTAGTTTGTGGAGAGGAAGACCAGACAAGGATTTAACAAATCTTGCACACATCAGGACTGAGACATGTGTTCCTAAAACCTTAAATCTGTTGATTCATTATTTTACTATCTATGCGTGATCTTGTAATCATTTTGGATGTTGAATTTTCGCGTTTTCTAACAGTTTCTTCTTCGAGTACTAATATTGTTGTTCCATCTTATTGTAAGAAGGCTTCTCATTTTGGTGTACCATTTTTTAAGTCTCCAAAATGTTCTTCTTGTTGTAGTTCACAAATAAGTGTACCAATATTTCTAATAAAAATATCTTGTTATGCCATAGGCTTGGACACCCTTATATATATGATCAAATTCTAGAGCATGTTGTTTCTAAACCGCACTCTTTTATGTCTTTTGTGTACAATATTTTATGTTGCATGTTCAACTTGTAAAATGTAAATATCAATCTTCTTTTCCTCTCTCTATTTGAATCAGTCTTCTCTGACCTGTGGGGAGATGCTCTCCAAAAAAGGTCATAGATATTAATCTTCTCTAGTGATCTCTTGGGTTTATCATTTGAAAATAAACATGTGATCCAGCTTTTGTCCAACCAAACAAGGGAATGGGTTTATTCCACCAAACCAAACACCCCCATAGTTCCCAACCTAATTTCCACGCGACTATGCTCAATCCGACAAAGACT